AAACTGAGGAAGGTCAGACATCTGTGCCTCTTTCTACACAGTCTTTTAGTAAACTTTGATCTGTAGCTGGCATGCATGCTTGCTGATCCTGGACTAAATAGTGATGTATCTCAGGAAGAACAGTAAGGCCAGGATAAATAGAAACCCCACATTGATTTTGATCGTATTTTAAAGAAATAAAATGTATTTTTGATGCCGACCTGATTCGAGTCCTTTATATGTTGGTTAAGACACAGAGACTGGTAATTCCCATAATCTCTGAATTAGATGGCTAGTCACCATAACAGGGGTAAGGATTGTGGGAATTAAATTCTAATGCTAATATATTCTAAACCTTAAGGAAGGTTTCTCAAAATTAATACGGAATGTTAACATAAAATATCTTGTCGTGTTTTATTTGAAAGTGAACATTCAGGTATTGTAAAGTGTTCTGCTTTAGTCACATAATTGGTACGTATAGTTTTGCCGCCCTCACCTGGCTCATCAGAGTATTAACTTCATGCCTTCTTTATTCCTTTTGACTATTCTCAATGGGAAAGGTGGGCAGATAATAGTTTAGTAAGAAACCCCCCCCCCCAAAAGAAAAACGTGTTTTTTTTAGAAAGCAGGGCCGGAAGATGTTTAGTTTTTTTTTTTTTTTTTTTACAATTTAAAACCCGAGGAGAAAATGTAAATTAATATTTATTCCCTATCCAAAGATGCTACTCAATGTGAGATTTGAACTTGCAGTAATTGCAGGCAGCTGGCAGCTAAGTTCTACTTTAACAGCACTTAGTCCACTGCGCCACCAAGGCTTATGTAGTATAGTATAGTATATCCTCTGTCATTGTACATAATATATACAATGAAATTGGTTTAGCCTCCCTGGTGCAATCCATAACAGAAAATACAAAACAACATAAATAATATAGATAATAATCCCTATACAAGTAGAATAATCCTTAATCAAGTAATTGGGGGGGAGAGACTAATCATACATTTCCGCATGTGCGTGGAGTGATTGTGATTGTGTTTAAGAGTCTGACAGCCCGTGAGTAGGAGCTGTTTTTAAACCTGTTTGTCTGGCTGGCTATACTTCGATGTCTTCTCCCCAATGGTAGAAGTGAAAAGAGACATTGGCCAGGGTGTGAATCATCCCTAAGTAGCTTCCTTACTCTGCTGAAACAGTGAGACCTGGCAATGTCATCCAGTGGTGTTAGAGTGCAACCAATGGTTTCTTGAAAAACCATATTTAGGGTTTCTTTAGCTATGATAAAAGATCCAATCCACTGTGGTTCCTTAGATCAGTGTGAATTGGTTTCCAACCAAAGTTGTAAATAGGGTTTTTATCACATTTTGCAGTCCAGCTTTTCTCCAGGAAGCTGAGCTGTGGTCATGGCAATCATTCCATTTTGTCCTCGCAACAATCCAAATATATATTAGTATAATATTTCCCTTCCCTTCCCTAGCCTATATTATAATGCTCCCTGAGTAAAACAGCGCTGCAACATAGGTGTCTCAGGCCTTTGTCAGGTTGAAGGGTGGGAGTAGGTGAGCTGCGACTGTCATAGGCCTACTTGTAAGCTCCCATTCCTGGCTAGCCACACAAAACCTGCAGATTTTTTTAGGGAGAATTGAGGATTCTGTACACCTGTACACTAGCTTTAGACAGTACAATCAATACAAACCAGCATTCTTGAACTGCACTTGGAAACATTCTGATAATCAGTGAAGGATCCTGTTGTGGTCCGCCAGCAGCCTGCAGAGCTGGCAGTGGAGTCGGACAGTGAGGAGGCTGGGGAGGAACATGGGCCAGTCCTGGAGTCTGGGGAAGGCCCGGATGAGGGCTCTGCATCGGAGGCAGAGATGGGGCCAGGGCATCTGGGAGTGATGCACAGACTCTGGATGCAAAATCTCCATTCCCACCCCACTCCAGGGGGAAGGATATTGCAAAATCTCCATTTCTACCCCAATCTGGGGCCAGCCAGAGGTGGTATTTGCCGGTTCTCCAAACTACTCAAAATTTCCACTGCCGGTTCTCCAGAACTTGTCAGAACCTGCTGAATGCCACCCCTGCCAAGGACCCCACACTTCCAATTTTGAATGGATCCCAGGGATCTCCCATTGTCTCCTCCTCACAATTTCTACAAGCACAGAACCTGCTTCAGCAAACAGCTCTGGAAGAGATTCTGTTAAAGCCCACCCAGAGTCTGTCCTTGCATTTATCGGTAAGGCAAATAGCAACTGCGTTCAGCGAAGTGGCTCTGAACTTGCCTAACATTATCAAGTTTCCCTGACCTCTCTTGGCCGGGTAGGAAATCGAGATGGATCTGGTTTAGCTGGAAGCTTATCCTGCCCCTAGAAACTGAGGAAGGTCAGACATCTGTGCCTCTTTCTACACAGTCTTTTAGTAAACTTTGATCTGTAGCTGGCATGCATGCTTGCTGATCCTGGACTAAATAGTGATGTATCTCAGGAAGAACAGTAAGGCCAGGATAAATAGAAACCCCACATTGATTTTGATCGTATTTTAAAGAAATAAAATGTATTTTTGATGCCGACCTGATTCGAGTCCTTTATATGTTGGTTAAGACACAGAGACTGGTAATTCCCATAATCTCTGAATTAGATGGCTAGTCACCATAACAGGGGTAAGGATTGTGGGAATTAAATTCTAATGCTAATATATTCTAAACCTTAAGGAAGGTTTCTCAAAATTAATACGGAATGTTAACATAAAATATCTTGTCGTGTTTTATTTGAAGTGAACATTCAGGTATTGTAAAGTGTTCTGCTTTAGTCACATAATTGGTACGTATAGTTTTGCCGCCCTCACCTGGCTCATCAGAGTATTAACTTCATGCCTTCTTTATTCCTTTTGACTATTCTCAATGGGAAAGGTGGGCAGATAGTTTTTTAAACCCCCCCCCCCCCAAAAAAAAAAAATTTTTTTTTTTTTAGGAGGCGGGAACGGTTGATTTTTTTTTTTTTTTTTTTTTTTTTTACAATTTAAAACCCGAGGAGAAAATGTAAATTAATATTTATTCCCTATCCAAAGATGCTACTCAATGTGAGATTTGAACTTGCAGTAATTGCAGGCAGCTGGCAGCTAAGTTCTACTTTAACAGCACTTAGTCCACTGCGCCACCAAGGCTTATGTAGTATAGTATAGTATATCCTCTGTCATTGTACATAATATATACAATGAAATTGGTTTAGCCTCCCTGGTGCAATCCATAACAGAAAATACAAAACAACATAAATAATATAGATAATAATCCCTATACAAGTAGAATAATCCTTAATCAAGTAATTGGGGGGGAGAGACTAATCATACATTTCCGCATGTGCGTGGAGTGATTGTGATTGTGTTTAAGAGTCTGACAGCCCGTGAGTAGGAGCTGTTTTTAAACCTGTTTGTCTGGCTGGCTATACTTCGATGTCTTCTCCCCAATGGTAGAAGTGAAAAGAGACATTGGCCAGGGTGTGAATCATCCCTAAGTAGCTTCCTTACTCTGCTGAAACAGTGAGACCTGGCAATGTCATCCAGTGGTGTTAGAGTGCAACCAATGGTTTCTTGAAAAACCATATTTAGGGTTTCTTTAGCTATGATAAAAGATCCAATCCACTGTGGTTCCTTAGATCAGTGTGAATTGGTTTCCAACCAAAGTTGTAAATAGGGTTTTTATCACATTTTGCAGTCCAGCTTTTCTCCAGGAAGCTGAGCTGTGGTCATGGCAATCATTCCATTTTGTCCTCGCAACAATCCAAATATATATTAGTATAATATTTCCCTTCCCTTCCCTAGCCTATATTATAATGCTCCCTGAGTAAAACAGCGCTGCAACATAGGTGTCTCAGGCCTTTGTCAGGTTGAAGGGTGGGAGTAGGTGAGCTGCGACTGTCATAGGCCTACTTGTAAGCTCCCATTCCTGGCTAGCCACACAAAACCTGCAGATTTTTTTAGGGAGAATTGAGGATTCTGTACACCTGTACACTAGCTTTAGACAGTACAATCAATACAAACCAGCATTCTTGAACTGCACTTGGAAACATTCTGATAATCAGTGAAGGATCCTGTTGTGGTCCGCCAGCAGCCTGCAGAGCTGGCAGTGGAGTCGGACAGTGAGGAGGCTGGGGAGGAACATGGGCCAGTCCTGGAGTCTGGGGAAGGCCCGGATGAGGGCTCTGCATCGGAGGCAGAGATGGGGCCAGGGCATCTGGGAGTGATGCACAGACTCTGGAGCCTCCAGAGTCGGACAGCAGAGAGGCAGAGGAACAGGAGGAGCCTGTTCCTAGTGTGCACATGCGCAGAACTGCCAGAAGGCAAGAACAGTTAAAACCAAAGGGACGACTCGGGAGTAAGGCCTGGAGATGATTGGCCCCTCCCATAAGGCTTAAAAGAGGAGCAAAGGCACGTGGGCACTTTGCAGGAAAGCAACGTTGTTAATTCTGTTTCCAGTCGGCATCTCTGTTGATTCTGGAATCCGTGTGGCTTTGCCAAGTAGGTGTTTGGCAGAGTGTCAAGGGAGATAAAGGTTGGTAATTATCCCGAAGGACTTTTTGCAACTAATTGGGACTCAACTGTGAATGAACGTAATTCACAGCTGTTGCAATAAAAGAGGTTTTTGGGACTACTTGCGTGTTTTAATGATTCGGGAAGCCTAGGTCACAACAGATCCATCATAAAAACATACCACTGCTGAAGCAAATCTCTTCTGCCAGCATATGATCTGCCACATTTTCAAGTCATCTTCAAAGTCATTGTCACTTACAGTTCTTGGGTAAAAATATTTTAATACCTAGGTGCAATCTTTCATCAAGGAATATCAATTGCTTGTTCATCTTTCTTTGTTTTTGCTATTTGCATTTTTTGTTCAGTTAGGGTTAGGGGCTACTATTTTGTTGGGACTTCATGCTTTCATGTTGCGTTTCTGGTGGCCACTGTGATGCTAAAAGAGAGATATAATATAAATATTTTGTTAAAATAATAACCATTTTTTTTCTTCCCATTCCCACAGGACATTCCAGATTATGAAAATATACAGGAACTTCCATATCTTGATATGGTGATAGCAGAGACTCTGCGCATGTATCCTCCAGCATTCAGGTTAGTAAGATAGGAGACACTGTGGCTGCTGAAGCATTTTTTTTCCTTTTCTGATGTAGGTGATTCACACCACTCCAGGGAATGAATGTGAGTCTTCTCTTAACCTATAAGGCCGTGATGGCGAACCTATGGCACGTATGCCACAGGTGGCATGCGGAGCCATATCTGTGGGCACATGAGTGTTGTCCTAGCTCAGCTCCAGCGCACATGCGTGCGCCGGCCTTCCAGGCTCACCGGAAGTCGCGAAATGGGCCGTTTCCGGCCTCCAGAGGGCCTCTGGGGTTGTGGGGAAGGCTGTTTTCGCCCTCCCCAGGCTCCAAGAAAGCCTCTGGAGCCTGGGGAGGGCAAAAAAACAGGCCTTGCGGGCCCACTGGAACTCCGGAAATGGGCCATTTCCAGCCTCCGGGGGGAGGGAAAAGGCTGTTTTTGCCCTCCCCAGGTTCCAAGAAAGCCTCTGGAGCCTGGGGAGGGTGAAAAACGGGCCTACTGGGCCCACTGGTAACCTTTTGGCCATTGCGTGCCAAAAGCGTGATGAGCATGGGAGGGTTGCGCACGCATGTGTGGGAGGGATGGGGCGCAGAGGGCCATTTAATTATGGGTGTGGGCACATGCACACACGACCCCCCCCCCCCGTGCTCCCCCTGCTTTTAGCTCGCTACGGCAAAAAGGTTAGCCATCACTGCTCTAAGGGGTCAGGCTTTCTCTCAAGTCTTGAAAGAGACCTGGTACAGTACTCGATGTTCCTAAATTCTTAGTGCAGTTTTAACCTTTAATAACTTCAGAAGTATATCATATTTTTCAGAGTATAAGATGCTCCGGAGTATAAGATGCACCTTAGTTTTTGGGGAGGAAAATAAGAAGAAAAAAAATTCTGCCTCCCAGCATCCATTGGTATTCATCATGCTAGCATCTTTGCAGCAAATAGCAAACAGCCAGGTCAGCTTAGGCACATTATTGCAGCCTGATTCAGCACGACCAGCTGATTGGTGGGTGGATCGGCCTCCCGGAATACCCGCAATCAGTTGTTCCAGGCTGCAGGGATTGCCACAGACCATCATCGCCTCCGTGCCTTGCGTTTTTGGCCTCTGTGCCTTGTGTTTTCAGCCTCCAAACACTCCGTTTCAGACCCGTTCAAGGCTGCGGGGATCACCAGAGCACATCGCCACCGATTGCCGCCTCTGCACATTGTGTTTTCAGTGTCTGCACATTGTGTTTCCGGCCTCCACATGCCCCATTTTTGGCCTCTGTGTGCATCAGGTTTTCGGGTGGTTCCAGGCAGCAGGGATCCAAGGCAGCGATGGTCTCTGGCAATCCCTGCAGTCTGGAACAAGTCCAAAACGCAACGCGCAGAGGCTGAAAATGGCCGAAGGGTGGGGGCCGTCGGGTGGGCAGGGCTACATTCGGTGTATAAGACGCACCCAAATGTTCATCTTCTTTTGGGGGAGGGGAGGCTGTCTTATACTCCGAAAAGTACAGTAAATGTTATGAACTTAAAACAAAAAAAATCATTGGAAAGTTTAATGAATCAAAATTCTTTTATACTTAAATTTGTGAATTAGGAAAAATATGTTTCTATTTTTATTTTTTTTCAAGTTTCTCTGTTTGAAAAATGGCAAGCATTGGGGGGGGGAAAAGTCAGTTGCTGGTTAGCTGAATTCAAGTCACAAACAGCAGTAAAAAGAAAATTCACTTCCCATTACAAGAAGGAAGCTCACAGCAGAAATTTAATTAACAGCTGGATGAAAAACGTTCAGGGAAACTGTCTCATTTCATGATGAGCATAGATCTAAGAGATGCTGAGCAAGCAAATAGAAATTGAGAGGGTATTTGAACAGAGATTCCCAAAACCAATGTACCATACATCTAGTAAATTGAACATTTCAAAACTCACATTGCAAAGAATTCTAACAATGAAATTCCATAAACTCCAATGAAATTCCATTACAAGGTTATTATTGTAGGATGACTAGGCTGAGCCTGAGGGAGGAGTCAAACACACCATCAGTCATGAATCCCTGTGTGCCCATAAGAGATCTAAGTCCAGCCAATCTTGAATTCCTTTCTATTCTTAACTCCTGTTAATTTCCCTTGACCATTAGTGGTTCAGATTCTTGTAGAGAGTTTAAATCTTGTAATAAATCTTTATTTAACATCTACTTGTTCAGAATGATTCATGGTTATAACAGGACCTAACAGGGGATGCTTATGGTGGGTCCTCGTAGTTATGGCTGTTACAACATCCCTGCAATCACAAGATTGCAAGTTGGGCACTTAGTGACTGGTTTGCAATTATGACAGTGGTTCCCAATCTTTCTGGCTTCACGGGCCTGTGGCAATGGGGGCGGGGAGGTTTTTACGTACACAACCTAGATCCCGTGTATGCGCAAATGAAGCTTTGCAGGCTCACTCACCACTTGTGTGGCCTGGGTCCCAACAGTTTGTGGACCGGGAGTTGAAGGTACCCCTGAGTTATAATGTTGCAGCTTCCTGCGGTCACAATTGCCATTTGTAATTTTCACTGGTGGCTTCCAAGCAAAGTCAGTGGGGAAGCCAGCAGGAGATTGCAAATGGTAATTGTGACATTGTAGCAACCGACCATGCAGGATTTGCTTAGCGATGGTAACTGGAACTGCTGTCCTAACTCGGCATGGTCACATGACATCATATTTTACAATTGCGATGCTTGGTGTCAGAGTTGCCAATCTCAATTACCGATGGTAAGCACCGACTATCTATAGTTGTTCAACTGCTACAAGAAGATTACTGTTCAAAGTTAATACAGTTGACTTTTTCTTCAGCATTGGCTGACAAATATTCTTCAACCAAAAAATTAAAACTGAAATTATATTATTCCACTTTGATAGATGGAAAAATGGATAGACAATTTTAAAGTGTGCAAATGCCGGCAGAAAGGTAGCAGATTGTGTGTGGTCTCTTGTCAGGAATGATTGTCAAAAGAAACCAACATCTGCATGCTTAAGAATACGCTTCTGCCCATGTTGTTAGAGCTGAATATGGAGGGAGGAATTACTAAACAATAAATTGAATGCTGTGGCGGTGGGATATTTAAGAGGGAAGAAGAGATGGGGTGAAGAATTAATAGAGTTTGAATTAATGCAGATTGAATCCACAAATGAGATCCAGGATGAAGGATGGATGTGGTTTGGTTACACAGAGAGTAAATTAAGACTGAATCAGGCTTTTTTCAGAAAGAGAATATGAGATCTTTACAGAATGAAAGGAAATGTATGAATGTATATATGGATTTGATGGATTCATGTATGGTTTGCATGAAAAGTATGGAGACCTATGGTAAATGTATTATCATAAATTACAATGAATTAGATTACTATGGGCTTATCTTGTACTTTTCCTTGCTTTCTACTCTTTTGCTTTGTATAATATTTTTTTATCCCACAAGACAATAACATGTTGAGTAGGTATTTGTACTTTATGCCGATACAAATTCATCTGTTGGCATATTCTCAAAGAGTCTTTCTAACATTAGAAATCAAGCTGAATTCAGTGCTGTTAAAGCAGGCAACATCTGGTTTTGTTTTCAACCATATATTTTTCCATCAGAAGTTTCAAAATTAACTTTTTTTTTTACTTTAAAACAATGCAGAGATAAACTTTCAAAATGCAAAAACCGCTTGAAAAATATCAAGAAATAAATCTGTGAGAAAATTATGGTGGGTAATTAAAAGTAGCAATCAAAGAAATAAATATTAGGAAACATTTTAAATTGGCAGTAAAGAATAATGGTCTTGGAACCATCATAACCAAATATGACTTTGGATGGAAGGAGCAAATATGGACTCAGAATATAAGAGAAGGAAATATTTCAGATTTCCTTCTCCCAGATAACTCACAGGATTTATAAAGCTGAACCTAAAATGTCACTCCACTTTTGTCTGCTGAATTCAGACAAAGCAAAATAAATGTCGTTTGAAAATTTAACAATGTGGTGGTCAAATGAAGGAAATTTGTGCACAACACTGGATTTTTTTTTAATGTTTTTCCCCTATCACAGTGTACTCTAACAAGGCATCATGAGGCAAATGATGTCCTTATGTGGCTTAACTTTCCCTGCATTCTGGGGGGAAAATATTGATAACCATCAGTTACTGGGAAAAATCCAGGAAATCTTAAGGAAAGTTTATTGAGTCTTTCTTTTTCTTTTTTTTCTTTCCTTCCTTCCTTCCTTTCTCTCTCTCCCTCCCTCCCTCCCTCCCTCCTTCCATCCTTCCTTCCTTCCTTCTTTTTCTTTCTTCCTTTCTTTCTGGGCCCGCGGGGGAGGGCCTTCTCTGTGGCTGCCCCAGCTCTCTGGAACCAGTTACCTCCTGAGATCCGGACCACCCCCACCCTATTGGCCTTCCGGAAAGCGGTGAAGACCTGGCTTTTCCAGCAGGCCTGGGGCCGTTGATCTCACTGTTGCAATCTTGTGAGATCCGGCCATGAATGGTGTGCATGGGCTTTTAATGTTTTTAAAATATTTTTATAATGTTTTTAAAAAAATTTCTATGTTCATTGTTCGCATTATTTTTGCTGTAAGCCGCCCAGAGTCCCTTGGGAGTTGGGCGGCATAGAAATGTGATAAATTAAATTAAATTAAATTAAATTAAATTAAATTAAATTAAATTAAATTAAATTAAATTTTCCTTCCTTCCTTCCTTCCTTCCTTCCTTCCTTCCTTCCTTCCTTCCTTCCTTCTCTTTCTTTTAACAACTGCCTAGAGCCTTCAAAATTGGGTGGCATATAACCAGATAAAATACATACATACATAGCTTCTCCATTTGGAGACGGAAATTGCTATGTGGGAATGTCTCAATCCAAGTGAAAAAAAGGTATTTCAGTTTTTCCTAAAAATAAAGTAGCAGCCTAGGACCAGATTTTAAGGAGTAGCAAAATATTCAATTTCATCAGCTCCCATCCTGCTGTCTTCACTCAATTTTCTTTGCAATGATTCTAATAATACTTTTCCTACTTATACAACAGCCTAGGCCCGTGATGCCAAACCTACAGCACATGTGGCAGAGGTGGCGCGCAGCGCCCTCTCTGATGGCACGCGAGCCGTCACCCCAGTTCAGCTCTGCTGTGTATGTGCATGCAGCTCCTGCCCAGCCAGCTGGTCTTCGGGTCTCTGCCGCGCATGGGTGGGGGGGTGAGGGGCCATGCACGCATGTGCAGGGCGCATGTGGAGGCCATGCACACATGCACAGGGGATGGGCTGCATACGCGTGGGTTGCATGTGCATGCATAGAGGGTGGGTCGCATGCATGTGGACCGCATGCATTGCATTTTGGGGGTTCGGGCGCACTTTGGGCTCTCGGTCTGGAAAAGGTTAGCCATCACTGGCCTAGGCTTACAACTGAAGGCCTCTTCAAGTGCTTCAATTGCTATGTTTTTCCTTTCTTATTTCTGCAATGTGCAATCTTTGTTCCTGTAGGTTTACCCGGGAAGCAGCCAAAGACTGTTCGGTGCTGCAGCAGCAAATCCCGGCTGGCGCTATCATAGAAATTGCTGTTGGACACCTCCATTATAAGCCAAAGTTCTGGCCAGAACCTGAAAAGTTTATTCCTGAGAGGTACATGGGCTTATTGTTCAAATCACAATGTTAAAACTGCCAAATCGTAATATCATTTATTGTGCAGATAACAACAACAACAATAAAGAACTGGGAGGCACAATTACACATATTGCAAAATGCGTACCCTCCCACAGAACACGATATAGCTACTCCTCAACCGGTCCCACCGCAATTGGGAGCAGAATTTCTGATGCTAAGCTAGGCAGTTGTTAAGTAAAGCACACCCAGTTTTATGACTTTTTTTGTTGTTGTTGTTGCTATGGCTCTTAAGCGGACTACTGCAATTAAATGAATTGCGTGGTCATTAAATGAATCTGGCTCCCCCCCCCAACATTGACTTTGCTTGTTGGAAGCCTCTGGAAAGATACCCAAATGGCGATCACATGACCCTGGAACGCTGCAGCCATCATAAGTACATGCCAGTTGCCAAGTTCCCAAATTTTGATCATGTGACCATGGGGATGGTGCGATGGTCATAAGCGCAATGTGACCAATTCCAAGTCACTTACAAGTACCATTATAATTTCAAATGGTCACTAAATGAATGATTGTAAGTCATGAACTACCTATATATAAATAGGACTATGTCTTAATCATCGAGCCAAGCCATTTGATGCCTACCCAATGTTTTAAAATGGAAAATGCAATATTTTCTTGCCCACAGATTTATATTTTAATTTTCCCCGCAGATTCACGGCTGAGGCTATGCAGCAGCAACATCCCTTTGCTTATCTGCCCTTTGGGGCAGGTCCTCGTGGCTGCATTGGCATGAAGTTGGCCTTGATGACAATAAAAATTGCACTGTTAAGAATTTTGCAAAGGTTCATGTTCAAAACCTGCCCTGAGACCCAGGTTTGTGCCTGTTTTTACTTCTTGGAGAAGATGGTAACAAAAAAGAAAAAAGGCAAACTAGAGGGTGGGGGAAGAATTGCTTTTCATTTCTCTTCGGTATGAATGCATAGACCTATAACTATTTCCCCTGAATCCCCAACACAGCATGCAACATATGGGGCCACCAAGGCTTCCTGCTTGATATATATACTTGAAGCTCATCTTTTGCTTTGTGTTCATTTTATACATACATACATACATACATACATACATACATACATACATACATCTTTTCTATCTATATAAAAAAGGTTGCATGTATGTATGTTCTAGCATAACTCTGGAATGCCTCGAGCAATTTCAACCAAATTTGGTGTGCAGATGACTTACCATCTGGAAACAACTACTGTGGGAGTAAGACACCTTTGGTGTGTGTCTGTTTGTTCCAGCATATCTGTGGAATGCCTGGGCCGTTAAGGAGAGCGAGCGCAGCATCCTAGAGTGGCAATTGTTTGTGATGTCAGTTCCTTCACAGCTTCCTCTGGAAAGGCAGCCATGACATTCTCCCTCCAGTGGAGGAATGGGGAATATATATGAACACAATGAACACAAAGCAAAATATGAGCTTCAGATGTTACAGGCCATTGTTAGAAAATAAAACAGTGGGTAGTTGCAATTCAGCATTTTTTTTGCCTCCTGGAGTATGGGAACTTTGTATGGCAGCCTTTTTGTGGGAGGGCCCAAAACCTCCGTTGTGTGAACCCAACCAATGAGCCTCTTATTTATTTTCTCCTGCCTAAATCATTTTGTTGAAATGAAGCCGATACCTGGATTCAGACTAATTCTAAGATGCAAATTACACAATTTGTGGAGTAGATAGTACAGAATTGCTTTTTTTTTAAAAAAAAATCCATTATATGGAAGGATCAAGAGCCCTTTTTTCAGCATTTTCAAATTCGAAAATGCTGTGCGCGTGCGTGAGCAAATGTGCACATGCCCGAACCCCCCAAATGCAATGCGTGTACGGCCCCTGCATGCCCCACCCCCAGTTCTGCCCCCTTGCACGCTCCCTGCCACTCATGCGTGTGCCCCCCCGCATGCGCCCCATCCCCATGCACCCCCATATGCACCTTGCCCCCCCTTTCATGTGTGCGTCCCCCCCAGACACTTCCCTCCCTGCGCATGCGCAGCAGAGAACCGAAGACCAGCTGGCCAGCGGGAGGTACACATGCATGTGTGGTGGAGTTGAACTGGGGCAACGGCTTGCATGCCATCAGAGAGGGTGCTGCGTGCCACCTCCACCACGTGTGCTATAGGTTCATGGTATCTAGCGTGCCATAGGTTCATGGGTATAGAGCATTCCCTTTCCTATATTACTGGTGCTTCTTAACTTGCTTTGCATTTTGTTTCTTCACCCTCTTCCCAGATCCCTTTGCAGGTCAAATCTCACAGCACACTAGGACCACGGGATGGTGTCTTCATCAAGATTGTTCCTCGTTAAGATAGTCGCATCCTCCCATTCCTTTTTCGGAAGCTTTGGCTTTCCTCATACTGAGAACCTATTTGTAACATGGAAAAACCTGTTAAAGGCACCAAATCTCAGTCTGCCTTCTAGCCTTAGTCAACTTATAATGCCAAATTCCAAAGACTGTTAAACTTCTACGCTTGCAAACTTAACCTTTAGTGCCTGATATGCATCTAAGCTTTGAAAGCATATGTTTTGTGGAGATATGCTGTGTGGAGGGGATATTTGCTAATAATGAAAGCAGGATGTTATAAAATAAACTGTTTTAGCTGTTGTTAAAAAAAATTTTTTTTTTAAATTTTTTTAAAATTCAGGCTGTTATAATTGGTCAGTCATCAGCTTAGCCTCTATTTTCTCTTGTTGTTCCTCTCCTGTCTAAGATTTACCTGGGCAATTCTGCAGCCCAAGGTGTTAACTGACAATCTGGAACTTAAGTGTTTTGCCCTTTCTTCCAAACAGTCCTCTCCAATGCAGTTCTCTGTCCACCTGATAGCTTATAACCTTTTTCACCCTCTGGCTTGGTTAATGGCAATTCATAATAACAGTGAGAACTAGAAATAAAATGCACTGCAGTTATTTACATAACATGTTCTTTAAAAATTGTTCCAAGGAATTCATATTTTATATCAGCTGAAAATCGTTGATTTTTAAAGCAGCGGCCCCCAACTTTTTGGGCACCGGTTCCATGGAGAACGGTTTTTCCACAGACCAGAAAGGCATGGTTTTACGTGCTGCCTGCATCTCGCGGATGGGCTTTGCAAGTTTGCTGGAATGCCGCGGACCAGGGGTGAAATCTAGCAGGTTCTGACAGGTTCTGGAGAACCGGTAGTAGAAATTTTGAGTAGTTCGGAGAACCGGCAAATACCACCTCTGGCTGGCCCCAGAGTGGGGTGGGAATGGAGATTTTCCAATATCCTCCCCCCAGGAGTGGGGAGAAAATGGGGATTTTGCAGTATCCTTCCCCTGCCACGCCCACCAAGCCACACCACGCCCACAGAACCGGTAGTAAAAAAATTCAGATTTCACCACTGCTGTGGACCAATGCCTGTCCATGGACTGGGGGTTAGGGACCCTCGTTTTAAAAAAAGAAAACTGCTTTTATCATCTTAAAGAATGTGTTTTGTATGGAAACTTTTCTAAACTATTCTTGTTGATTGTTAAATGTAAGACCTTATATGTATAGTTTAATTCCTATGAATATATAGATAGTCCTCAATTTACAACCACATTTGGGGCCAGAATTTCCACTGCTAAGCAAGGCAGTTATTAAGTGAATCTTGGTCCATTTTATGACCTTTTTTGCCACAGGTCAGTGAGTCAATGTAATTGTTAAGTGAATCCTTGGGCAAAATAGGTCCCCCCACCCCCCCCATTGACTTTGCTTATTGAAAGCCAGCTTGGTGAATGGCAGAAGCCAATCACATGACCCCAGGATACTGTAAATATTGGTTGCCAATTGTCTGAATTTTGATTACATGACTGTGGGGGATGTTGTGATGGTTTGTGTGAGCACTGATCGTAAGTCACTTTTTTTCAATGCTGTTATAACTCTATGAACAGTCACTAAACAAATAGTTATAAATTGAGAACTGCCTGTATTTATTTCACATGTAGAAAATAAAAGGATTCTAAAACCACTTGTAAACTTGCTTTATTACAGTTATAATCTGTATACTAATTAAAAAAATTCCATCCCTAGAAACAAACAGCCCTACAGGCCAGCTACCTGCATTCTGTAGTGTAAATCAGTGTACTTACTAGTGTTGTTACTTCATAACACTCTTATTTATCTGCAAAATTTCCTGGGTTTGCAGTCTACTACAGCTATTAAGATTCTCAGACTTCACTTTCAAAATGAGCCCGCCCTGATTTGGTACAGTGTTGAAACTTCCAACATACATAACTATTAAAACTTTTTTAAAAACCCCTTGGTGGCTTTTAAATCACAGATAGTAATTTCTTTATATTATTTGTTATAAGGCATCTATCTTGAGATTTTCAGCAAACAATAAAGCGAACTTAAATACATGTAAACTTTATAGCATCAACCCATAAGTTACATTCAGGGAAAGCAGCTATGTTGGAAAGAATGGTTCCTCAAGGTAAAATCAGATATCTATCTGAAGCACAAAAACCATAAAGAGTTTTACAGCTGTAGCTAGATATGGTTTGCTTCCAAGAGTTTCATTACAGACCTGCGAAACTCGGTACAGGACCCATTCAACTACATTCATCATATTGTCACGAAAGGGTTGTATCTTGAAATTTCAATAGCACACGATTAAGTCACCACAGGCAACTATATATCCATTGAGATGCAACAAAATGATATTATCTAATACAACCAAACAAGGCTTCTTTTGCTAAAGTTTATTTAAGCAGACGGCTGGTTCTTAAGCCATATTCCCAACACATGTTTTATATCCAAAATCTAAAAATTTAAAAAAGTTAGACCCTAGTGACAGGAGATGCAAGGATAATTTTTTTTGTATCATTATATACAATGATATACAGTGATATACATATCACTGTTTCAAAGAGGAAGCACAAGAGTTAGCAAAGTAAAGCAGAGAAAAACGCTACAATAGCATTCCTCAACCTGATGTTTTACAGCTGTTTAGGGCTATAATTCTGGAATTCCATGTTGAGTGAGTATTCTGCAGTCATATACAAGTTTAAAAAAAGATACTACAAAAAGACGTAAAAAAGTATTTATTTTTAGAATCTAAATGACAGATTTATGTGGTTCATATGGAGTGTCAAGATGCAGACAAAGGTCATTGATCTGAAGGTTTTCTCCACCCTTATGCCCTTGGAAAGATGGAACAGCATTGAAAGAGATTGTATTAATACTAAATATTAAAATCTGCAAAAAACAATAGAACTGTTTCAAATAGAACATTAGAAATTACTAAAATCAGTGCTTCATGTGGGCTCGTAATATTATCTGGTATTTAGAGATATTAATGCTTCAGATCTAAGATTGTAAAATTGTTTCTGAACAAGTATGAGTGAGCACACCACATCTCTGAGAATAAGGCACATATTCATAATACACTGCCTTATGTACCTACGGGGTGTATATATATATACACGCCTGTCCCAAAGCAGCTTTTCAAACCACTGCAGACCTATAATGTCGCAATTAATGCAAAGGGGTGGGGTGGGGGATATTTTTTAAGGCTAAGCATTATGTGTGTTGCTCTTCTAAGAAAATCTAGTCAATAAGTCATTGATGATTCCACTGATTAAATTGCCCCATTGAATACAAAAGCACCATCTTGGATTTTACATGACATATAGCTATATCAGAACAAGTATAATCGAAGCAAAAATTACTCCTTGAGAAAGCAATAATGTCTCTTCTTAAAAAAAAGCACTTAACATTCATAGATCTATTGAGCTTCGACAGTAAAAATTAAGTCTGCTTTTTACATTTATGATGCCCAATTGCAGAGGGAAGGGGAAGAGAAAGGACATCTTTTTAATCTATTAAAAACTTGTTTAAAATTCACTCAACAAAATGCTGATATTGCTAACGTGACAGGCTAAGGCCTTCAATGGCCATCCAGAAAGTAGCTCATTTAGCAGTGTGTTAAACAGCAATACACGGTCTACTCACAAATTTAATTTTTGTATTCAATGAGGTATTCTGGATAAATCTGGTGCTTCTCAAAAATGACAAAAATGGATGGATTCAGGAGACTGTTCACACAGCTGTTATAGAAAAGACTGCTCTGGTTATTTTTGGCAGGGGGGCGGAGATAGGAAGAGTTGCCAGTTGTAAAATCTCCCACCAATACTTTGGCGAGAAACATGGTCTTGATAGAAGAACTTACTCCGCTGTAGTTATCAGAATATGCAGCATCCCTTGCAAAGTAACTTCCTATAAAGAAGAAAGACATAAGGAAAAAGAGACCACACTACAAATTCAACAAAATTGTAGTGTATTTAGTGGTTTTAATGCCAAACAAGGATTGGGAAGACCAACATTCAAATCCATACTGGTTTGGACCAGTCGCTACATCTCAGCTCCATCCACCTTGGTGAGGATAAAACTGGAGAAAAAGATGATGTGGCCAGCCTAACCTTCTGGATACCATGATATAAATGCAGCAAATAAATTAATATTAAAATTTGGAAATCATTTATGGTCTTCAAGCAGGACCAGGCTAGCCCCAGAACAGCTGGATCAGCATAATCCAAAGGAGGAACTGAACCTTCCATACCTTTGAAGTTTTGCGCATACTATATCTAGGGCAGAGGAGTTTTTTCTGCTAAATACTACATCTTTTTTTAACCAGATGCCCTTCAGATATGTTAATGTCAACATCCATTATTTCTAGCCAATAAGTCATTGAAGACAGATACTAGAACCCAATTCAACAATATCTGGATGGTCAGAGTTCCCCATTCACTTTTGCTAACGCCCGAGTCCAAATAAATGGTACAGAAATATAGGAAGTGTATCAACTTCAATTAAATTATTACGCCCAAAACACCATAGAAGTTACCTTTGCCATAAGCTGTACCATGAACACCACAGATCCTCCAATCAAAATTCTGCTGGCAGATGGCATCAACATGGTTTTTACTTGTTCCATGAAACAGAAGCCTTTCATCTACATCCTTTCCCCCATTTGCCTTCTTCATTTGTTCTTTCTGCCTATAAACATGAAAAAGAATATGGCACAAACACAATCATGGGAAAATAAAATAGGAAAAAAGGGGATACCCGATGCTAAGAATCCTACCCAGATATTGAACTCTCTTAATCAGTATTTCTCAACCTCAGCACCTTTTTAAGATACCTGAACTTCAACTCTCAGAATTCCCCAGTCAGCACAGTTGGCTAGGGAATTCGGGGAACTGAAGTTCACACATCTTAAAGTTGCAGAGGTTGAGAAATATTGCAGTTAATTGTTGTGACCTACCAGTGGCTAGCGGCAGACTCAGACAGTGAGGAGGTTGGGGAGGAACATGGGCCAGTCCTGGAGTCTGGGGAAGGCTCTCATGAGCATTCTGCGTCGGAGGCAGAGGTGGGGTCAGGGCCGTCTGACAGTTGTCAGCTGCCTTCGGAGTCAGACATCAGTGGGGTAGAAGAACAGCTGGAGCCTGTTCCCAGTGTGTGCATGTGCAGAGCTGCCAGGAGAGGGGGGCAGCTAAGGAACAAGGGTCGACTCAGGAGTAAAGGCACAGGTGGATGGTGAACAGCCCCTCCCATAGGGAATAAAGAGGAGTGAAAGGGGAGGGGAGTTTGCAGGAGACAATTAGTTCAATTCATTAGAATGAAGATCTGTTCCTGACTTCTTGCCAAGTATTGTCTGCTACAGAGTGGCGTTTGGAAGATATCGGCCTGGCAGCTCTCCAAGCCTGATAAAAGTCTATAGTTGTGAAATCTCTTGAAAGACTGTTGGCCGGGACTTTGCTGGAAAGGAATTCCCTTTAAATTAAATAAAAGGGGTTTTATTGGGACGAGAATTGGCTTCGTGCTTTTGGGAAGCCTAGGTCAAAACATTAATGATGTCCTGTTCTAGGGATGAACACTAATGGATGGTACTCCATAAGAGAAGAAGTTGGGTTCTTGTCCTCTGTGGTGGCCTCTGTAGCTTGGAATGTCTCAGGACACGTGGTCTTTAGAATTCAGATGTCAGCAGCTAAATTAATGAAAAGAGTAAGAGTTTTCTATTTTGCTTATTCTGATCATCTTCCATTAGTTAGACTTAGCTTTCTCCAACATTTTGCTAGCCAAATGTATTTGAACCCCACCCAAAGAGATGAGCCATGCTTGCTGAGGCTAATCAAAGCTAATACTCAAGAGATTGGGAGAATGTGGATCCAACCTAGTATCTACTAGTTTTTAGGTGCTAAAAGTTCAGCTAATTCTGGAAGCTTTTTCACTTTTTAAAAATATATTGTCTAATCATGATCAAAAGACAAATTAGAGATGTCAAACTAGTAAATCAAATGTATTTTACTACAACCCAACAGGGAAGAAAAAGATTCGGCAAATACAGTACATATACTTTCATATATCTTCATAATTTTTCATGATTTAATTCTTGCCCCCTTGATTAGTTGCCCCAAAATTACAGAGTTAAGAGGGGATAAAAAAAATCTGCAGTGGAAAAACTGCTGTTTCAATGTCTTGCTCATCTTTTTGAAATGACTTCTCCTTGGCACTAGTCTTCACCTTTCGATTTTCCCTTCCACTATGAAAAATGTTTCATTCTCTTTGGACTCCTGGATTTGGAAACAAATCAGAAACCAAGCTAACATATAAACATATATAAATTTATATCTGTCTATAAACAGGTATAGAGAGAGATCAAGACAATCTGCCTAACAAATCAACAAGAACTTCTGGGCCACTCTGCAATACCTTTTTCCTACCTATAGACCAGGGATGGCGAACCTTTTTAGCACTGAGTGCCAAAAAGGGAGCACGTGTGCCTGGGCTGCAACCCAGAAGGGGAGCTGCCCAGGGCGCATGCACCCGCCCGAAAATGAACTTCTGGTTTTAGCTACTGAACTTCCGGTTTCAGCCAATTGCTCTTCCGGGTTTTTGGCACGCATGCGCATGCAACGATCAGCTGGCTGGCGTGCACGTTCACACAAGAAAATGGAAGACTAGCTCATCTAGTTTCTAGCACTGCCACATGCAAAAAGGCCAGCTGATTGTCGCGCGCTCATGCACGCCAGAAACCTGAAAGAGGAACGGGCGATGCCATGCATGCCAGGCGACATGGTTCCGTGTGCCACTTTGGGCACGCATGAAATAGGTTCGCCATCACGGCTATAGACAGATGGTGTGACAGCAAGAACAGAGCAGCTTTTTATTGGGACTAGAAAGATCCACAAAGATGCTATTTCCATGAAATGTTGTTGTGGGGAGGGAATAGTAGTTCATCATGCTTTGGTAAAATAAAGAAAGCCATGTATTCTAGCATTTGTTTTCCAATGTATCAAACAGAAAAGGGTGCAAGGGAGACATCAAAACTCAGAATGTACAGTTTTTTATTTTCTCAGTGATTATTGTTTCCATAAAATTCTGAAAACTGAAGTTGAATCAAATATTTTTATATGTTAGCTTGGTTTCTTATTTGGGGTGTTTCCGAACCCAGGCTTGCTTTCTTCACATCATACCTCCTTTATACATCTGTCAGACCTGGAAGCCATCTTTTACAGTTGGGCCTTCAGGCCTGCCACATTTTCTACTGTGGGAAAATGAGAGGGGGGATTGTATAGAGTATAGTCAAAATAACATTCTTTTCTCAGAGAGTCAAGGCCACAGTGCCCTGCAGCTGCCATGAGGGGACTGGGAGGTATCTTAAGTTTTGGATGGGGCCTGATTGGATCATGTGATGGACATGTGGGTTCTGGGCAGGGACTTGAACTTTCTTTTGGGTGCGGAAAACCTGGAAGCTTTCAGATTCGGGTTTTCCCAGATGTGCCAATATGATATCTTCAATAAAATGGAACTTTGAGGAAATTCAAGCCTCGGAGTCTTCTTTCATTGGGGGTGTTACTTGGAACCCTGACAACATCATTTACAAAGAGAGGTTTTAGAAATATTTTCATTGTTCAGAAAAACGTCTTTAAAAGAAAAACTTCTTCCCCTTCGAGTCTTCAATATGTATCCCGCAGACTCCTTCTCTGACTACAGAGCTCTTTTTCTCTCTACTTGCAACATGTAGTAGTCCCATGAATTGTGCTCCTTAATCTAAGTCAGTGTTTTTCAACTCCAGATGTGTGAACTTTAACTCCGTCATGTCTATCATCCACATCCCAAAGGTGCTTTTCAAAAAGCAAATGGACTTTCTTGGGTTTTGTCTTTGAAGATACTTCGCTTGTCATCCAAGAAGCTTCTTTAGTTCTTTAACTCCCACAATTTTCTGGGAGTTAAAAGTCTAGGCATCTGAACATTGCCAAGACTGTGAAACATTGTTCTAAGTTAACACCCCCAAGTCTTCCTCAAGCATGATAATTTTCATGTTACAGCTAGCAAATGGATTTTCTACTTGGTCCAATAAGCAACATTTGCACTATGATAAAGGAAAGTTTTCACACTACCGGGGATAAGATATGACAAACAAAATGAACATTTTGCCACAAAAAAGAACTCTGTTTACACATTCCAGGAACTGGAGATAACCTCTATACATGAAGACAGAAGCTTTCAATCATATAATTAGCTATGTGACCATCAGAGAGTAGTCCCCAAAGAGTAAGAAAGAGTTAAATTCTCTGCTCCTTGGTATGACAATACAACCATGATCAACCCTCAGTACTTTGAATTTAAACAGCAGTGAGAAATTCAGAAATTCTCCTTTAATCCAGCATTCTGCTATGCAACAGAAACACGAAGCTTTTGAAAAAAATCAATTTCAGAGAAGACAATGACAACATGGAGCCGGTTTGCACGTACCACTGAAAAACTTCCCAAAGAGACGCATTCTGGATTCTTTTGATGGCCGATATTGTGACCCTGGGCAGCGTGCGCTGAAAGTTAGTCTGGACTTTTACGTACTCGCTGGAGGATGGAAGGAGATTGATCAGCTGCAAAGGGGGGGAAAAGGGTATAAACATGGGTTGTAAAAATGGGAGGGAAATTTAATATACGCCGTAAAATTCAAAATGAAAGTTATCTGCTCTGATAATCAAGCAAAACCAAGTCACAGAATCATTGGGCGTTCACTGATTAGGGAAGATGAGAGGAGAAAGACTTAGATCTATGTGTTGAATCATCTTCATACTCTTTGAGTATACTTGCCAAGGATGATCAAGCCAGGACAGTGATGGCTAACCTTTTTCTCGTGTGCTGAAAGCACGTGTGTGCGCACCCATAATGTAATGCATGCATGACACACACCCCGCACATGCATGTGCGACCCCCCCACATGCGCCCTGTCCCCACCGTGCATGGCAGAGACCCGAAAACCAGCTGGCCGGCAGGAGTCACATGCACATGCCAGTGGTGGGTTGCTCCCAGTTCTGCCATGTTCTATAGAACCAGTAGTAAAATTGGCGGGAGGCTCCGCCTACCCGCCTGGACATCATAAATAATGATCTGAGCATGCGGAGAAGCTTCTGCGCATGTACAGAAATGTGCATGCACGCATGGCCCCATTGCGAGCAGGTAGTAAAGGTAAGTAGGTGAGCCGAGGTGGCGCAGTGGTTAGAGTGCAGTACGGCAGCTACTTCAGCTGACTGCTAGTTCAGCAGATGAGCGGATCAAATCTCACCGGCTCAAGGTTGACTCAGCCTTCCATCCTTCCGAGGTGGGTAAAATGAGGACCCAGATTGTTGGGGGCAATATGCTATTTTAGTATACTGTCTTTGGTGTAAGCAGCCCAGAGTCCTCGGAGAGTGGGCGGTATAGAAATATGAATAATAAAATGAATAAATAAATAAATTAAATAAATAAGTAGAACCCACCCCTGGCGCATGTGCGGTGGAACTGAGCTGGGCCAATGGCTCGCTTGCCTGCAAAGAGGGATCTGTGTGCCACCTGTGGCATGCGTGCCATAGGTTCGCCATCACAGACCTAAGACAATGAGCCATCCTCCTGCATATTCCTCTCACAATGCTATGTTTAAATCAGTGTCCACATTTAATCCTGATGCTGAATAGCACTTCAAATAGCAAGAGGATAATGTCTCTCTGGTTCAAGAAGTTAAAAGATCTGAACTCTCTGAGAATTGAATTTCCTCTCTCTGCCTAGTGACTACCTAGAAGAAAAACAAGTTCTAACAAGTTTAGCAACTGCCCTACCTAAATGAAGTTGTAGAACAACATCTGATCCAGCTTGGGCCTATTCTGAGTTCTCCCAGTGTCTGATTCCCAACAGGTCATTTTGAAAAATAGGAACTTTTATTTTACTCATAAGATTTATGTTATACCACTTCAGTCTGGGTGACTCTAAGCAATATACAGTGTGAAATACAGAAAAAACATATGATGTGTCCTGCTGCTAAAATATTTAAAAAGACTACCGTATTTTTCAGACTATAAGACGCACCGGAGTAAAGACACACCAAGATTTCAAAGAGGAAAACAAGAAAAAAAAATAGTTTTTGACCTCCGTGTGTCCGGTTTTTGCCCTACCTGGCCCCCAGGAGCACTCTGCAGCCTCCCAAACCCTCTGTGTGCCCCTTTTTGGTGAAAATGGGGCACACTGGGGGAGGGGTTAAGGAGGCCAAAAATTGCTGTATTCGGTGTATAAGACGCACAAACATTTCCACCCTCTTTTGGGGGGGAGGGAAATGTGTCTTATACTCCAAAAAGTACGGTACATGAAATATAACAACTTTAGATGAAACAGCTTCCTCAGCGCCAACACATTCAATTTCTGAAGGCCCTCTGAAGCAACAAAAACTTTTAAAAAGTCTTTAGTAGGCTTAAAAATGGGGCTAATTTACTTTGGGGTCTATGACATTCAAAAGGATGGAAGGAAGCTCCCACAGAAAATGCCCACCTCTGTGACTGCCAAATCAGTAGGAGGCGGCCTTCGTTCTCTCTTTCCTCAGGCTTAGCAGGCCAACTTGCTCTGAGAAAGGTATCATTGCAATTACTTATTTCATGGTTAATTGCCTTATATAGGATTCTCACTTCAGTTTCAATCCAACATCAACCCCATGATATAGATTAGGCCAGAAATCAAGTAGGATGGCCTCAAATCACTCTGTAGGCATCCTTCCCATATGAAGAAGCCTTTAGCCTCAGTCTTTCCAGCACAGCATAATTCTGACCTTAGCCACCAATTTCATTCCTTGTTTCTGTAACCTACTTATCATCAAGCTACATTACTCTTTATTTTATAGAGATTGAGAGGGCAGAAGAAGAGTTAATTGAAGGCGCAAACTCATCCTTATTCACATTACTGGATATGAGTTTTGTGGCTGATATGAAATTTTCCATTGCTGGTGTTTACTGGATTGTTAATTTAAATTTTATTAGAGTACACTCTCTGATAACACCCTCATACAGAGAAAGAGGTAGAATAAAAACCTTACTTCCTCAAAACATGCATTAAAGAATTCAAACAAAACATTCAAAATAAAGGATTAATAAAATCAGAATAATGATGGGCTATAAAAGCAGAACCTGCCAAACATTCCGAGTTGAATGACTGTACTGGGAATATAGAACCATCTACTAATTTAGTAAAACCTACCTTATATCCCAGTTCAGGTAAAGCTGTCTGGTCCCAGTGAGGTGGAATGTTTGTAGCGCTTCCCTTTGATTGCTCTGTTTTGCTTGTAAATAAAGAGATTGCAAAATTAATCAACATTCTCTTTTATATAATGCAAAGAAAAAAAAATATTCATCAAGTAAAGTCAAGGAATTCTGATTCGGAATGTGACTTTGGAGCAAGAATGAAGGAGGGGAAATTGAAGTAACCAGCAATACTTTGAGTGATGTGTGAGTGAACTTCTTTTCTTATTCTTGGTCTATATTGAGAGCACTTAAGTTTTATCCCCACCTAAAATGCACATTAAGAAAACAGGCAAAAATCTGACCACACCATCATGGCTGTCATTTAGAAAGAACTTTAAAAAACAAAACAATCCTGTGATTAGCCTTGAATTCCAGTGCACCTCATTATCTATTCTTGAACTTTGAGTTCTGCACTAGCATTCTCTTCAGGCCATGCAGATAGTGGATATGTCATAATAGTCATTTCTGTTCTTTCTTCTTGGCTTAAACTGGCTTTCCTCAAACTTCTGGCCTCCCATTTCTGCAGAATTGACAACTTGCTAGGAATTTTACTGGTGTTAGACCAGTATCTTGGGAGGAACCAGATTGGGGAAATCAATCAGGATGGTCTGTAAAATGTACTACTCTGGACTAATGGAAACCCAAGGAAAAACATAATGTTCTAGAGATCTAGACACATACAGAAGCACATACATTACTTTCCAAATTACGAACCAAATTATGAGGTCACACACACACACCCCACCCACCCACACAAAAACTAGTCACCAACCTGCTTTTCTTTTTCTCCACGTCTTCCGTAGACACAAACCTAGGCCGTCTACAAACATTTCTTTCTGTGAGATATTTGAGGTTTTTCTGTTTCATGGCTGAAAAATGCCCACATAAACATCTCTCAAAACATTGAATTTGTGCCTTAAGAATGAAAACAAAATCTGTCTAGGATCCTAGCTGGATTCTAAGAAGGTGAAACACTAGGCAGAACAAAGCTCGCCCTTATCTAGACCAGATAAGAGCAATGCAAGAGGGGCTATGACTACCTTTTTCTAAACCACTGACATCAAGCTTTCAAAGAGCCCCTTTTTTGTTCTCCAGCTTCTCTTGAAACTCTTACATGTTGCACGTTTTGTAGGCATCCTTCTGCCTACAAAATATCAAATGTGCTTCTGGCCCCAAATATTGCTTATCTTTATCTAAGGCATGTTAAACCCCCTTCTGCCCACTGATCTGACTTACCAAGTTTCCAATTTGATGTTTAATTGAAAATTGGTGTAAATAAAAATCTATCCTTAAAATCAAGCGGAAAGTCAAGGTGACCTAGCCTTACCTGCTTATCTCAAAACTCCTTACTATATTCAAAAAATCTTTTATTAACCAAGACATCAAAGGATCCAAGCTGACTTATTCTCTTTCTTATACAACCCTGATTCCAAATTATATTAATGCTTTAAAGATCAAAGTTATTTGTCAAGCAAGGTCACTCAAGCAGAGACCCTCAGAACTCCTTTGCTTAGGAAACTACAAACTCAGATGATATTATCCATGAAATTGGGCCTAGAAGATGATCAAAATCAGTTGGACCTGATTAATAGAGATGTATGATTCACCAGCAATTCACACTGATGTAAAAGAGAGGGGTTTTGGGGGGGACTTTACGTAACAGCTTTAACCACCTTAAACAGCTATGTTTAAGCCAGGTGCATAGTCATTCAATCACAGCACCTTTGTGAAGACAATTTGATTTGAAGACAAATTGCTTTCTATCACTATGTAATCCTACTCAATTTTACAACCAAACTGGGGACAATTTGAACATATCTTTGCGGGTAATGAGTAAGGATCTCTGGTGGCACAGGCTTTGAATGTAGTATTGCAGGCTAATTTTGCCAACAGCCTGGAGTTCAATCCTGACAGGATTCAAGGTTGACTCAGCTTTCCATCCTTCCGAGGTTGGTAAAATGAGAACCCAAATTGTTAGGGGCAATATGCAAATAATGTTGGCTTTGTGAACCACCCATTGTGTAAAGCACTACAGTGCGGTGTATAAGCCTAACTGCTGTTGCTAATGGAGCAATTTATAATTACTTGTTTGAAGCTCAGGACAGCCACTGCCGCAATATCTGTATAAAACAAGGGAGTCTGAAGGGTTGTTGATTTGTTTGTTTTTGTGATGTATAATAATGATATTAGGTATCCTTAAGACCATGAAAAGGGCATTGAGGAAACAATTTCAAGAACCAGGATAACTAAATTATATCCAAGTTTATTAATACAAAATCTGCTTGCTTGATTTCTAATCAGATGGACCTTTCTTCCTAATAGACAATATTAGGCTAAAGGAACCAAATGTTATGGCCAAGGCAGATCAACATGGATTTTTATCTGGTGCTATTTCCAAACAACTCATCTGATACAAGAGGGAAAACACACCTTTAAAATCAATCTCATAATTCTGGGTCCCAGCCGAGAACTTGAGGGTCGTAAATGCTTCAGACTGGTAGGCTTTCTCCAAGTCAAAGCTGGTCACAGTAGCAGCAGTATGATCATCATCCTGATACCACAGAACCAAACACAAGCATTTGCACATCACTCCAGAGAAATCTAGGTTCTTTGAATTTTGTTTTTTAAAAAAGGACTTCCTTAAGAATTAGGAACGAGTTATCTATTTCTAGATTGTTTAAAGCCGATTCAAATTTATGTTGGAAATGCTGAAAACGTGAAGGGTCATTTTATCGTACTTGGTGGAGTTGTAAAAAAAAAAAAAAGCCAGAATATTTGGGTTTCAAACAACTTTATCAACTTTATTAATATAAAAACTTTTTCGGTTCAAATGAAACCGGGGGTGGATGGGTGGGTAATCTGTGACTAATGGATAGACAATTCGAGAAGTGTTTTGAAAGATTGTTTTTTTGTATATGGTAACTACTGTGATATTATATGCACAAAGATTGAAAGAATACCGACAATACCCACAATGGAGGAATGGCTGGTGAAAACGATAAGAATTTGCAGAAATGGCAAAACTGACTTATTTAATTAGGAAAAAGACAGCAATTGGATTCATAAGTGACTGGAAACCCTTTATGAACTTTTTGTCGAAAACAGGGGGGAAAAAGAACCTGTGATTTATGGGTTTTGACCATTGGAAAGGGTAACTTTGGAAAGAAGGGGGCCATGATATACCGGTAACTATGAAGATGGGAAGTGACACATATGAGGGTAGCCAGCTAAAGATGCCTCTTATTGTTCCTGGAGGAGAATCTAAACCAACCAAGGAGCCTGGATAGCTCAGCAGACTAATGCATTGTAATTTAACTCCAGCTGTCTGCAATTAGTAAGTTCGAATCTTGCCAGGCTCAAGGTTGACTCAGCCTTCCATCCTTTCTAAGGTAGGTAAATTGAGGACCCAGTTTATGGGGGCAATAAGCTGACTTTGTATAAATATACAAAAGTATGAAGGCTATTGCTTAACACACTGTAAACTGCCCTGAGTCTCCGGAGAAGGGCGGCATATAAATCAAATTAAAAAAACAAACAAAAAAACAAAAAACCTGTCAGTCTGCATAATGTATTGCTGCTTAGCCCCAGCATTACTTCTCTATTGTAACCAATTGTCAGTGCAAGAGGTTGCCCCATTTTCTTCTCAATGCTGGAGGTGAAATTTACTCTTCCTGAACCTTCAATCCTTCCTCCATGAAAGAACAGAGAGCTACGACACTGGACAGAAAATCTTCCCTGTGGAGCAGGAAGAAATCTTAAAACCCTGTCTCCTAATTAGAAGTGGTTGAGCCTTCATTCTGGCTTCAATAAACAAGAATGATTAACAAACGAGAAGCAGTTTCCCCAGGTATCCATTTATTTCCAGCATTGTCCAGACTAAACTTAACAGCCAAGGATTTTGGATCCATATCTATTTTTGCATGGATCAGCCAGCATATTTTAATTATACATGCTCAGTGGTAGGATTCAATTTTTTTTACTACCGGTTCTGTGGGCGTGGCTTGGTAGGCTTGGCATGGCTTGGTAGGCGTGGCAGGGGAAGGATACTGTAAAATCTTCATTCCCACCCCACTCCAGGGGAAGGTTACTGCAAAATCCCCATTTCCTCCCAATCAGCTGGGACTCGGGAGGCAGAGAATAGATGGGGGCAGGGCTAGTCAGAGGTGGTATTTACCAGTTCTCCGAACTACTCAAAATTTCCGCTACCGGTTCTCCAGAACTGGTCAGAACCTGCTGAATACCACCCCTGCATGTGATGGCCTTTCTTCTGATGCTGAAGCATCAAATATTACGTCCCAAATATTGCACACCATTTGTACCATCAGGCTTTCCTGATACCCATCATTTATAAAAAATATTTATTGTAAGATGAAATTAAATTCAGCGTGTCACCTCTTGCAGTAAACGCCCACCTGTGATAGAGTTTAATTTTTATTGGTTGCCTCACTGCAGATTATGAGTGTTGAAGTGTGTTCCCTCATCTTTCCAACACCCTTTTAATTTGTTTGATGTTTTAAAAAAAACTTTTGATATTGATTTTTTTTTTTTTTTTGTTCTTGTTATTAAAGTTTCTATTTTGTACTGCTGTTTCTTAATTTCACTGCTTCTCTGTTTAGGTAACAAAGTTTTTCCAATACTGGTTAGAATTTCCATTGTTAAGCAAGGCAACTGTTGAATGAATTGCACCTGATTTTATGACATTTTTTTGCCACAATTGTTAAGCAAATCGCCACAATTATTAAGGGAATAGCATGGTTGTTTAGCAAATCCAGTTGCCCCCATTGACTTTGCTTATTGGAAGTCAGCTGAGAAAGTCACAAATGGGGGCCAGAATGCTGCAACTAACCTAACTCCATGCCAGTTGCCAAATTCTCAAATTATCATCAAATAATAATGGAGACACTGCGATAATTTTAAGCGTGAGGACCAGTCATAGGTAACTTTTTCCACTGTGTTATAACTTTGAATGGCCACTAAATGAATGGTTGGGTAGTAAGTCAAGGCCTACCTGTAACTAATCTAGGTACTGCTCTTACACAGACCTATTCTGACACATTTTATGGAGGACACGTTTTATGGTTTATATGTTGCATTAATTTAGTAGTAAAAGAGGAAGCTGGATTTTTATTAAAGGTAAAAGCTAAAGGTTCCCCTCGCACATATGTGCTAGTCGTTCCCGACTCTAGGGGGTGGTGCTCATCTCCATTTCAAAGCCGAAGAGCCAGCGCTGCCCGAAGATGTCTTCGTGGGCATGACTAAACACCAAAGGCGCACGGAACGCTATTACCTTCCCACCAAAAGTGGTCCCTATTTTTCTACTTGCATTTTTTTACGTGCTTTCGAACTGCTAGGTTGGCAGAACCTGGGACAAGTAACGGGAGCTCACCCCGTTATGCGGCACTAGGGATTCGAACCACTGAACTGCCGATCTTTTGATCGACAAGCTCAGCATCTTAGCCACTGAGCCAAGAACAATATCAAAATTATCAAAAATATCAAAGTTATTAAAGGTACCAAAATCATTAGGATACTATGCAGCTGTGCTTCTCTGGCTGGCTGGGAAACTACTGAAGTCCATTCATCTTAAAGTTGTTAAGGTTGAGAAACCTGCTGTACAGCATGAAGAAGATGACAACATGATTTCAATGTTAGTAAGGCTTACTTGCTTTCCGTATTCTTTCCATAGATTGTATTCGTCTTTCCAGTACCAGATCCAATCTGTTGTAAGAATATAGTGTGGAGGCTTGGTCACAGAAGATGGAGTGGAAAGCCTTCTAATTTTAGTAGAGCCCCATGTCATACTGGAGAAATTGAATTGGCTGAAGGATGCCTGCTCTGGTCCTCCCAAATGGAATACACTGTGGACAATGGGATTTTAAAAAGTTATATATATATTTATAAAAAAGCTTGTTCTAGCCTATTTCAGTGATGGTAAACTATGACATGCCTGTCAAAAGTAACATACCACAACATTTTCAGTGACACATCAGCGTTCATTAATACCCAATGCTGAGTGCCACAGTTCTGGATGGCCTAGATGGGGGAGGGGGTTTCTTTTCTCTTTGTCTCTGTCTCTGTCTCTGTCGGTCCTGTCTGTCTGTCTGTCTATCCATCCACCCACCCACCCACCCATATCTATCTATCTATCTATCTATCTATCTATCTATCTATCTATCTATCTATCTATCTATCCCAAAACTAAATCTAACAAATGAAATCTAGGATAAAGATGGATAGCTTTCAAAAATAGAGATGCTAAAGGAGAAATCCAGTAGCATAAAAAATTCAATCTGTAGTCATAAAAGAGACCATTTCTATGATACTTAAGCAACAAGCAACTGAAAGGACTTGTATCATTTTTATATTTATAACTTACATTGCATTTCATTACTACAGCTTTATGTGCTAAGACTCTCAAACCTTGGATAGAACCAGGTTAATGATAAATACTCTATTATTACTTAGCTTGTATTTAAAACCAAATATTTGAAAATCTCCTCTTCCATTATTCTCATTCTTCTCATCTTTGCAAACTCAAAGGAGGAGAAAGGAGAAATTCTCATTGATAAAACTCAAGACTAAATTGAATTCTATACTGTTTTGTACTGACTTCATCAAAATCTTAAGTTTAACTTATATGACTATGAATGTTGCATTATATGAAGCACGTAATCCACTTTCAGATTCTGCTTGCAGTAAATATATAGCAGCCCAATCCAGATTAGGATCTGCATATGGAATGAGATAAACCATTCCCTTACCTCCCCCACCCCCATTCTTCTTTAATATATTCCTGAGTGTCTGAGAAGAAAAACTTTACTGAAGAGAAACATTTTGCAAACAAAGAAGCTTGAGAGGAAAGATTTAGCTTTTCTCACTCACTTCCTATCTGTACCTGATTACTGTGTATTTAGTAAATGTAAATCCAGAAACAGAGTAATGCAATATGGGATTTATGTATGATTGGAAGTATCAAGAATTGCACACATTTTGATCAGTGATGGCAAACCTTTTCAGCACCGAGTGCCCAAAGTGGAACGTGCGTGCATGTGTGCGCGCATGCATGCCAGAGTGCAGGAAACCCAAATACCAGCTGGCCGGGGCGCATGTGTGCGGCAGCCAGTTAGTCTTCGGGTTTCTAGCATGCGCACGCACACTGGAGCACCGAAAACCCAAAACCAGCTGGCTGCCATGCACATTTTGGTTCAAAAAACAGCCCAAAAACTGCCAAAAAGTCCTGAAAAATGGCCTGAAAATGGCCCCAAAAATGGCCTGGTTTTTGGCCATTTTTCGGGCCGTTTTCAGGCACTCTGGCGCCTATGAAGACCAGCTGGACGGCACGCATGTGTGCGCCGGAAACCAGAAGAGCAGCTCAGGGGTGGGTTCTAAATTTCTTTACTACCGGTTCTGTGGGCGTGCCTCATTTTGTGGGCGTGGTTTGATGGTCATGTGACAATTCTTTAGGATTTAGTAGAGGTACTGGTCTACCAGGCTTTTAACTGCTTGCAGAGCTGTACTGGTCTACCCATTTGTTCTTGGAGCGTTTCGGGCTACCTATTTATTTTTGGAGGCACTGGTCTACCCATTTGTTTTTGGAGCATTCCGGTCTACCCATTTGTTTTTCGAGAGCACTGGTCTACAACTACACTGCCTTTTAACACTGATCAGCTGTAGGCGGCCCTTTGAAGCCCCGCGGCAAGAGTTTAAACAGTTTTTTTCCTTCTAGCCGATCAGCTGGGACTCGGGAGGCAGCGAATAGATTGGGGGCGGGGCAAATAAAAGGTAAGAATATGGTGCGGGGCATGGGAGGGCTCAGCTCCTGAACAAAGAAAACCGGTTCGGTGATGTCATATCGTCACCGCCACCGGCTCGATCGAATCGGGCCGAACCGGGAGGAACCCACCATGGAGCAGCTGGCGATGGTGCGCGTGCCCACAGAAAGGGCTCTGCGTGCCACCTCTGGCATGAGTACTATAGGTTTGCCGTCACAGCATTTTGATTGTGAGATTTATGCCAGTTGAATAACCTAGGAAGGTGGTGATGGCAAACCACTCTCAAAAATGTTGCCAAGAAAACTGGATGGATATCTCCAGGAATTTCATCAGAAGTCAAAACTGATTTGAACCTCCCCCAACACACCTCTAATTTACACAGGAAGCCTATATTAAAATGTTTCATATCACTTCGACATATTACAATAATAGGCAAACTATTTAAAAAATCAGTTAAACATGCATTAAAATATTTAAAGTAGAGGAAAGTAGCAAGTAGCATCAATACAATTTAAGACAAAAAAGAACATGTTAATGTAAGAACAAATTATTACTATATTTATACCTTTCATTGCGTGGGTCACAGAAACCTTTTTCAATTTTCTTCATATTGTCCATGTCTTTCCACACAGTACCAGATAAAACTTGCCATCTATATGGCAAATGGTAGTGAACTCGGGTACATTTATCTAAATAAACAAACCCATGTTATATTGTATTATATTCTTGATCCATTAAGATATTTTTCAAGAAGACATGTAAGAAATTTGTACTGATGAAATTGCCAGGCATAGAGGGGTGATGAGCCTCTTGCAAAAGTTCCATTTTTAGACCTTTTATTTTCTCTTTTGCAAATACTTATAAACAGTACATCAGCTGCATATTGTTTGGTTTGGGCTGCGTATCAGAAATCATCAAAGGTATTATGAACCAGATCTCGAGTTTCTAAGAGAGCTCCAAAACTGCAAAGAAAAGAACCGTAAACCCTCATAATTCTTTGCTGAATAATTAGTCCAGATCTTTGCAGCCTAAATATGGTAGATCTAGTTCTTAATTATTCATTCTCACATAAGTCATAACAGCAAGATGACAACCTCACTTCACAGCACAAATGTGAAATACATTTTTTCTTCTACTGAAGGTACTATATTGGAAGTGGATGGTGGCAGAGCTGAAGAAGTCCTGTGGTCTACATCTAAACAGCTCTGAAATTATGCTAAAGGTCAATTTTGTGGTATCTGAAAATACACAAATCCAAGACCAGATTGACAAGGGAAGACACTTTTCTGAATGGTGATGGTCTCCATACAGATAGAGACCAAAGAGCCTAGGAATCTTTTATTTTGGATTTCTGTATTGAGCAAGGATTGGGTTCAGCCTAAATCAGGGATGTCAAACTCGATTTTATTGAGGGCTGCATCAGAGTTTGACCTCGAGGGCGTGGCCAGCTCAACGTCACTCGTGTCAGGGGCGTCTGTGGTGGCCCGAGTGCACGGCCAGTGAAAACAAACTCCAGAGATGTTTTTGGCTGTGACGTCCTCCTGCAACCCTGTGCCAGCAAAAATGGAGCTTGGGAGGGCCCTGCATGGCCCTCACAATCTTTGTTTTTGGCTGCAATGGCCTCCTGCATTCCTCTGCCAGTGAAAACAGAGCTCAGGAGAGCCGCATGCGGCCCTCCCGAGCTCCGTTTTCACTGGCAGGGGCACCACAGGCCAGTCCTTTGCTATTTCCAGGAAGGCCCCATGGACCAGATCTAAGCAGCCCGCAGGCTTTGAGTTTGGCACCCTTGGCCTAAATGATGCTTTCTAACTCCATGATTCTAAGGGAGAAATGATAGCATTCATATCACATATCAGAAACAGGGAAAGCTTAACCCAAGTGATTTTACCCCACTTACCTTGAAAGCTACAACTTTTCCTAATGTGGTATAAGCAAATCGTATCTAATTCATCAATGTCTGCGGTGGACACTATTTGATTTTCTCTTCTCTCTAAGGAAAAGTATAAATTTTGACTCAAGATGACAAAAGATTTACATTATTTTAACTTCCTCCAATTCTCCCGATCACTCTCAAGGGAAAAAGTAAGTACTCAGATCAACTCTAGAATTACAAAGACAGATAGAAGTTGTGGATAAAAGATTATGGGTGGGAGTATGACTTCAAAGAGGATTTCTTGATTTCATGAAGACTCCATTAGAAGAGAGCTCTGTTAATCTATGGTGGCAAAAAAGCAGGAGGAGTTCGGAGCACCTTTTCGGACTAACGTATTTTACTAACAGGCACAAGTTTTTATGAGCTGCACCTCCTATCTTTCTCTCAGCATTTGAAGGCCTAAAACTTTCTTAACATCAGAAATAAAAGTATTGTTTTAAGCAATATTTTCTCTAATCCTCAATTTACAGATAAATTGTTTTCAGCAAGGATAATTGATTCCTCTTTTACAAACACAATCAAGAAGAGAAAATTGCATGAAATTATAATGTAATTTTTGGTCTTGTCTTAGTATGGGATGTGAATCCAGTCCCTTGGTTCATGTATCATGGTTTATCCAATCAACTGAGCCAGTCAGCAAACCATGATTAAAACAAATCATACTGTAATGAATAAACTATTTTATACTTTATATAATTTTCTTATGAAAATTTCAACAACTATAATGAAAACTAATACAAACTAAAATAAAACAGAAAAGAAGCAGCAGAAAGGGCGAGAAAAAAGAAAAAGCTAAAAGTGCAGAAAGAAAAAAGTAGCAAAAATATTGGAAAAAATAATCATCAAGTTTCCAGTCACCAATAAAATGTAGATACAGTGGTACTCTGGTATTCAACTCAAACTCATTGAACTTAGTACTCAATGCATTTTGACATAAAAATTTTGTCCCAGTACTCACCATTTGTTTGGTATCAATGCACGAGCTAGAACTTATCGGTGCTGGCTGCTTTCTGATTTACTATATTATTCCTTATGGGAAAAATTGTTTAGTACTCACCATTTTTTGTATTCATCGTGCCTCCCTTAACAATTAACGATGGATACTGAGGTACCATGGTCCTTCCCGCCACCCGTGCTCCTTCCCGCCCCAATGTGGCAAACCCCAGGCCTGGCGGCTTGAAAACAAATCCATTTAGTGCCTTAATGAATGAACATCTGAGAATTTTGCATGAAAATTTCACATGCACAAAATATTCCATCCACACAGTGAGATAAGATTTGAATAGAAGAGTTATTGACAACCTTCATTCAACTTTAGTACGCTTATCAACCTGGGAACGGATCTCTAAAGACTATGGGAGCATAGTCCCAGAATACTGCTTCCATGAGAAGGACAGTAGGATCAGAGCCCCCACAATACTAAACCTATGTTAATAGATCACAAAAATTCTGAAGTCTTTAGTGGCTTAAACAAAGTAATTCCAAACAGAAAGCCAACCAAGAAACTTTTGCCCTGACCAGAAATTGTCTTCCAATCACCTGAAAGGGGAATTACCGTGTTTCCCCAAAAAGAAGACCTGGTCTTATTTTCTTTTGACCCCTGAAAAAATGGATAGGGCTTCTTTTAGAGGGTCATTGAAGCACATGGAGGTTCATAAACCGAGACCCTGAGGACACAGATAAACCCCCAACAATCCTCTAAAACAGGGCTGTCAAAATCCCAGCCCAAGAGCCAGATGCATCATGCTCTGGCCATACCCACGCCTGGTTTAGCAAAGGGGAAAAAGTCCCCATACATCACGTAACACTACTGTGACGACGCGAGCGTTGTCACCCCTGCTCTAAAAAGATGCAAATGACCAGCTGTCTGCAAGGAATATACATCCTTCCATTCTCCACCATCCTGTCAGAACTGAAGAAGCTTCTTGGATGAGAAGCAAAACATCTTCAAAGAAAAAACAAGAAAGTCCAGTTGAAACTCCTGAAAAAGCACCTTTGGGACAACCATGACTGAGGATCTCTACAGACTTTAAGGCAAGTCATGAATCGCTCCTGTAAAACACTCCCACTTCTGCTGTTTTTTTCTCCTGAGGATCCTGGCTATGGAGCATGAGATCCCTGGGATTTTGTACTTTGTAGCACATACCTGCCCATAGCTCTCCATCCCCACCCCTACTCTGTAGCACACGAAGGCCTTCCCAGCCATGCTTGTGCAGTGCTGTGGCAGCCACTGGTGCATCTAATGATAGCCACTCCCTATCTGGCCACTCTCCCACTGCCTCATATCATTGATCTATCCACAAAAACTTTCCACATGGTGCTTAAAAAAACAACCTGTACCTGAACATCAGAAAGACCAAGGAGATGGTGTTGGACTTCTGGAAGAGAGAGGAACCTGCCCCACTTTACATCGAGGGAGGCTGTGTAGAGAGAGTCTCCTCCTTTAAATTCCTGGGAGTCCATCTCAGCGAAAACCTCACCTGGAAAAACAACACGATCCAGGTGCCCAGGAAGGCCCAAGAGAGACTCCATTTCCTTAGGGTCTTGCATAAAAACAGGGTGGAACAACAACTGATGACCTCCTTTTACCGGTCCACAATAGAAAGAGTCCTCACTTATTGCATCACGGTATGGCACGCCGGCCTGACAGCGGCGGATAGAAAAACACTACAGAGGGTGGTGAGCACAGCACAAAACATCGTGGGCTGTCCCCTGATACCACTAGATGAGATCGCTAGAGCCTTAGAAGAATGAGGAAAATCACTCAGGGATGACTCACACCCTGGTCACCACTTCTTTACCCTCCTACCATCCGGAAGGAGATATAGAAGCATAGCCAGACACACAAGCAGGCTGAAGAACAGGTTTTATCCGTGGGCTGTTAGACCCCTGAATGCAAAATAACATCATAGTAGTACGATGGAATTGCAGGGCCGGCGCAACGTGTATCATGTTCACACTGGTGTAATAGGACTATGATTTATTGGGTTAGGGATTTTCTATTTCCACTGTGAGTTGTACTGTGTTGGGCGGGGTGCACTGAGGGAGCTCCACCAAACTCATTGTACATATGTTGTGCAGTGACAATAAAGATTATTATTATTACCTGTTCACAGGCCATTTGTAATTTGTGACTTCCTGATGGCTTCCCCAATGATTCTGCTTATTAGAGGCCATCAGGAAGTCACAAAGAAATTCTTATTTAACAACCTAGATCCTCGCTCAACAACAGAAATGGAGACCGCTGGAATTGCTGTTGCTAAGTGATACAGTCACATGTCACATTTTATGACTCCGCTGCTTAGCTATAGAAATTCCAGGCCAAATTGCCATCCTTAAGTGAGGATTTGTAATTTGAGCTAAGAAAAGAATGGCTAGTAACTGCCGAGTAATCATGCAGAAGACAGAAATGAGCTTTCCAAATGTTCATCTTCCCATAAATTATTCCCATAAACTGAACTATGCAATCCTAACTGGCAAATAGCCAAATACAGCTTAATACTTAATACTGTTCCCAATTTCATAATTGATCAACACAGCTGAGAAAACATGGAATACCAGCAATTATTTTCTCTCTATTTTCACAGAGAACCAAGCTGGTCATATAATGCAAAGTGAACAGATGTAATCCTTGCACACCTCCTTGGACATGGGTGAATGTTAGACTGAAGTTGTGTTATCCCAATGCAAAGCTTATGCATCACGAACCAACTTGTTTCCCCTAGAATAATACATCGCCTAATAATACCATGTTTTCCTGAAAATAAGACCCTGTATTATATTTTTTGAACCCCGAAATAAGGGCCTTATTTTTGGGGGGGTCTTATTATTTTGGGGCACAATTTGGCGGTGGCAGGTGGGGTGGGGAGGGGGAGAAGCGAGGGGCAGGAAGCTCTGCCATGCCCGGCGAGAGAAGAGGCTGCAAGATTCACGGCTGCTTTTGCAGCCAATTGAGGCTGCAAAAGCAGCAAGAGAAATGGTGGAGGGGAACCAGGAAGATTGGGTAGATGAGATGCCGGGCGGTGAGGGCAGCGGCCGTCACCTGCCACGAGCAAAGCACTGGGTGGAAGTACCCGCTGCGCAGGGGCAGCTAAGCCTGCATCGTGCGGCTGGCCGGGGCGGGCACAGCTTCCCGAGTGTGAGCCTTTCCCAGTCGCTGGACACAGGGCCCTCCCCGCCCTCCGCTTCCGAGTAGGGAGGCTGTCCTTGGTGGGTGAAGCAGCAGCTTCCTCCTCCTCTTCCTCCCCGAAGGCTGCCCTGCTTAAAGGCCCAGCGTGGCACTTCCCCTAGCCCGCCCACCCCTTCAGCCACCCCTCTCCAAGCACTCTGATCACACAGTCTCCCTGTCCTTCGAGATAAACTGGTCAAGAGGCGCACACAAATTTGCTCACAGCAGTGAGCCGAACCCGTCCTGAGTCTCGCCGCTTTTGGTCGCTGCCTCCCTGGCCTGAGGCTTCACTCTGGCCGGTCGCTGCTTTGAAGAAATGTCACAGCTAATCTCCACACAGCCTCGCCCACAAATGGCGCAGGCCAGGAGCTCTTTACCCCCAGTTCTGCTTTCAGGGCTCTACTGGGTGGCCCCCACCCCACACATCCCTGGCCTGCCTTTGTCAATGTTAGAGAATATGCAACACTGCACACTGCCCATAAGCAATGTGCAGCCTCTCACAATAATGAAAATTGCCTGCAATTCTCCTTACTTTAAGAGGCTGCACGTTGCAAAAAAGAACGAAGCAAGGCGGTGGGGGTAGTGGAGGACAAAGCAAGGCAGGGGCTGCAAAGCTGCCCCAAGGCCATGCATCGGTTTACCTGAAGGCCCTTCAGACAGGCCACCAATGCCAAACCCTCCCCCTCCCCCCCCAGGGCAGCCACATTCCTTCACTAATCTGCTTTCCAGCTCTGTTCTCCCCTGCGCGTAGTCTGTTGGACTATGGTAAAAATAAAAAATATCAATAGTTCAGACCTTCCAACTTCTCATGAAGAAAAAAAATCTCACGAAGTTGCAAGGTGTTTTTACCGTAATCCCAGAGTATTTTTCTTGCCCTGCACGTGACGGTGGAGAATGGAGCTAGAAAGCAGGTTAGTGAAGGGATGAGGCTGCCTTGGAAGGTTTGGAGGGTGAGGGACCTCCGTGTGTGTTGTGGGGGCGGGAAACAGAGAGAACATTGCTGCCAGCCCTGGATAACTGTCTGAGTTATTCAGGGTTGGATCGGATCTCTCTCTCTCTCTCCCTCTCTCTCTCTCTCTCTCTCACACACACACACACTCACACACACACCGTTCTTTCTTTGGGACCGCAGGACAGATGGCCCTTCCAGGATTGCAAGGCTGAAAGCTTCAAAGGGAGCATTTTGGGGATGTGTGTCTGTGCTGCGATCCCAAGTAAAGAAAGATTGGAAGGAAAAGGGGGAGGAGACCCGCAGCTGGGGAGGTGCTCTGGAGATCTGGACCGAGTTGCACAGCCCTCACTGGCTCAGCTGGTCAGCGGGCAGCAATTAAAGGGCTGAACCTCCAGGAGTCGATGGGGAAGGGAAGGGCTGCCTCCTGTGCTGGCCACGCCCACCCCTTCACAAAGGCTTATTTTGGGGGGAGGGCATATATTTATGCCCAACCTAAAAATCAGGCTTGGCCTTATTTTCGGGACTTGTCCTATTTTCGGGGAAACACAGTAAGCCCAATCGGGCTTTTAAGCGCACACGCTAAAATAAGCCCTCTCCGAAAATAAACCCTCCCCAAAATATTTAAACGCATATGCAGCCACTCCCCGCCATTTCCTCTGGTTAGAGTTAGGGAGACAGAGTTGGAAATCAGGTAATCCAACAAGAGGAGCCCCATCTTGCTCCATGCGCCCCAAAGTAATAAGACATCCCTGAAAATAAGGCCAAGCACTTATTTTGAGGTTGAACAAAATATAAGACAGGATCTTATTTTTGGGGAAACACAGTAACCGCCACAATACTAAGCAGAGAGGTGATTCTGACAGTGCAACCCTCCCAATTTACTGCTTTCCAATTATGCAAAGATATCAACTCCCAGAATCCGTTGGCACACCAGGAAAATTAGGAATTGTATTCCCAACACCGAGGGCATCAGATTGAAAATAGTACAACAGTCATTTCCAAACAGGATAAAGTACTTTACCTTTGTATTTTGAAGATGTGTTGTTTTTTATGTCGTACACATTCCTGTAGAGCAATGGAATTTTACTAATCAAAGCTTGGCTCATCCCCCACTTCTCCAGTTTCTCATAACAATCAGAATTAAAAATATCATGAGAGTGTCTGCAGTTACTCCCAAATCTACATTCTCCTTGGAGGTAGTACTGGCATATATGAAGTTTAACACAGATCTTCTTAAAGGTGCATGATCCGTAAGGCCCCTCCCCTTTGTTGTAATATGGACAGATCTAACAAAGAAAAGAAAATATTATATTGGTATCTTTGAAACAAATGGATATACTTAGTCTATCTCTAGCCAAGCAAAGATGTAAATACACAATGATGCCTAAATGTTCACAAAGACCATGGGATTAAAGCATCTCCAGAGACGTTTAGAAATGGAGCCAGGAACCATCCTAACTCAATACCAGGTACACATCTTCTAGTATATAAGGTACACTTATGACCACCAATTGCATTGATAGATTGCTTTCTTCCTAAATGCCTATCCAGGAGGATTAAACTGGCAGCCCGCAGGCCAGATGCATCACACGCAGGCCACACCCACCCCAGCTCCGTGAAGGGAAAAAAAAGTCACGAAACATCACATGACGGCATGGCAGCATGACGCCATTAGTTTGATACCAGTGGCCTATTCAGACTACTCAATGGCAATTTTCCACTGCCTTATTAAAGGAACCCAACAGTATATACTATGTTTCTTTATTATAAAGTTAGCTATGCTGTAACCTTAGATTTATGGTCTTCATTTATTTGGAAGATTATTATACCTCACTTATTCAATAGCAGCTTTGAAAGCAAGATTGAAACCAAAATAAAAAATATTAAGCCCAATATTGGAGATCATTTTGGTTTGGGGTTTCTTATGGTGCCTTCAAGCCAGACAACTCCTGACAACTGCCTGGATATGTTCCTGCAATTTTCTTGGCAATTTGGCCACCATGGTTGACTATTGCATTCTTCCTAGGGCTGAGAGAAAGTGACTAGCCCAAAGTTTGCTTTGTGTTCAAGATAAGACTGAAACTCAGTCTCCCTGTTTCTAGCCTAGTGCCTTAACCACCACACCAAACTAGAAATACTGGTTTATCACTGGATAAATGCTGATTTATCATCACTGATAGTCACTAAAAGTGCCACGTAATACAGGTAGTCCTTGGCTTACAATCATTCATTTACTGACCATTCAGAGCTACAATGGCACTGAAAGAAGTGACTTATCGGTTTTCAGATTTACAACTGGTTGCAACAACCCCATGGTCACGTGACCAAAATTCAGATGCCTGGCAACCACTTCAAATTTATGACAGCTGCAGTTGTGCCAAGGGTCATGTGATCATCTTTTGCAACCTTCTAACAAGCAAAGTCAATAAGGAATCCAGATTCACTTAATAATTGTGGCAAGAAAGGTTGTTAAACGGGGCAAGACTTATCTAACAACTGTCTCACTTAGCAACAGGAATCTTGGGCTCAATTGTGATCATAAGTTGAGGACTACCTGTAAAAGATGAAATTCTCCCAACATTGAATTTCTTGAGTAAATTAGAATGGTCCAATGGGCCACATCTTGCGCAATGGAAATTTCATTCCCTAACAAGCATCAATTGTGTGTGATAATCTCACCTCAGGCAAGAGTGAAGGATCGTTCTGAAGCAGCAGTTGGCATAATTCATCGGAGTTTAAGTTGTCTAGATCATATTCTTTTAGGACAGATAAGTTGTGGCCTGTCTTAATGTCATGGATAAACTTGCACGGTTTCCTAAAGGTTTTGAAAATATTAAACATGTTTTGTAATTGTATCCAGATTTAAGTCTGAAACCACACACTATTCATAGGCATGAACAGACAGCAGAAAGTGGCATGTAGACCGATCACGAAAGCCTAGGGACTTCGTGGGAATTCCAAGAATGGCAATTTAAAATCTAGGAATCAAAAATAATATAATCCAGGAAGAAAGCAATGGCAAACTATTTCCATTTCATGCTAAGCAATCTGTACAGCTACACCCAAGCAAATTATCAGAAGATCTCATCTGAAAATGGATTTATTTTTTCTTGGAATTCCAGGATGCTTTAAAAAAAACCCAAACCTTGGAAATCAAGGCTTTTGATGTACATAGGACTGCCAAGTTTAGAAAGCTTCTTCCAACAAGACACTGGCCCATAAATGCTTTAGATACATCACGTTTTTTTTAAAAAATCCTAATTTTGTAATGTTGGTAAAATTTTGGGGAGGGGGAAAATGAAGGATCTGAGTAAAACAAGTAAATGGAGAACGATGGGAGAGTCAACTGAGAAATGGTGATGGCAGAGCTTTGTTATTAGCAGTTCTGTTATTCATTCCTTTCTTACATAATCCGAGAAATGCTTTGTTTTAAACTGCTAAAAGAAGCACAACATTCCACTTCCTGTTCAAGTAAGTCTTGAAAAGAGTCAACAGGATGACCAGAAACAGAGGGGTAAGAATAGGACCTAAGAGTAAGCTTCCTGCTGAAAGGTCCCAGGACTGCCTAGAACAGGGGACTCCAACCTTGGCAACTTTAAACTTGGAGGACTTCAACTCCCAGAATTCCCCAGCCAGCTGGCTGAGGAATTCTGGGAGTTGAAGTCCTCCAAGCTTAAAGTTGCCAAGGTTGGAGACCCCTGGCCTAGAACAGGCTGCCATTTTCTTTGGAAAAGCTTTGCTGGCTGGGGAATTCTGGGAGTTGAAGTCCTCCAGGCTTAAAGTTGCCAAGGTTGGAGACCCCTGGCCTAGAACGGGGTGCCATTTTCTTAGGAAAAGGTGGATTGGGAAAGTCCCATTTTACACGTCTCCCTAAAAAGTTATCCCAGCTTCACTCATGGCAAGTATAAAGTCAAACCGAAGAAAAACATTTCAGGTGACCAAACACCAGAATTTGAAATCCTTTTCCAAGGTGCAGCCTCCCTAGGGAAACATTTCGAGGGTCTTCTATAAACAGCATCCCGAACCGGGACCCTAAAATTTGGCACTGGGAGGCGTCTTTCCAAATCAGTGTTTCTCAACCTTGGTAGCTTGAAGATGGGTGGACTTCAACTCCCAGAATCCCCCAGCCAGCAGCGCTGGCTGGGGGATTCTGGGAGTTAAAGTCCACCCATCTTCAAGCTACCAAGGTTGAGAAACACTGTTCCAAATGCTGTTTTTTTTTTTTTCCCTCTCTCTCTCCTAAACCAGGTGGGGGAAACAGAGCGAGATGGAAAGTCGCCGTCTGGGGAAATAAAAATAAAATTTAAAAAAATCCCCTGAATGAATCGCTAACAAGCCGGCACCGCTTCCCTCAGCTTTCCGCTCTGCCGGAATTCCCCCCCCACAGAAAATGGCAAATTGTTCCTCCGAGGTTGGGCGGATTCCTTTCGCCCGCATTTCTCCGGACCACATCCGGCTGCCTCCTTCCATGGGCAAATCAAACAAGATCCGCGCAAAGCCAAATTCTTCCTCTCCAGGCGGGGACGCGCCTCCGGGGTCTCCTCTCTCTACTCCCCCCAAATGAGACAGTTTCAAGACTGCCCCCCCCCACCCGTTCCTCCCTCCCTCCCTCCCTTTTGCAAGCGACCCTCCTCCTTTTTCCCAGCTGGGGCGACGCCGGGCTCACCTCGCGGCCTGCTGGCGGCACTCCCCGTAGACAAAGTACCGGCAGAGGTGGAGCTGCCGGCAGCCCCCGGCGCATTTCCCTTTGCCGTGATCCCGGCAGAGCCGCGCCCCGGTGGTGGCCACGACCACACGGTGCTCTTCGCTGTCGGCCGCCGAAGGGGGATCCTCCCGGGTCACCAAGGTGAATTTCGTCTTATCCTGCAGGATCGAGTCCAGGCGTCCCGCGTCCAGCCGCGTCTTAATCTCGCTGACTTTCTGAGAGCCGCCCGCGGCGCAGACCCTCCGCAGGATTTCCTTGGCGAAGACCGCGTCCATCCTGGCCCCGGGAGTCTCTCGCCCCTTCCCTTCCCTTCTTCTTCCTACGAGCCACAGCCCACTCACCCACCCCCTCCGGCCGATCGATTCCTCGGAATTCCCGCCTCTCGAGAGCGCTTGTCCCACCCCTCCTCGGGCCAGACCAGGCTCGGCTCTTTAAGCTCTCTCTTCTCGGGGAAATGAAACCGAAAGCTGGAGCTTCCCGACACAACAAAAGTGCAGCTGGGTTGCTAAGCGATGGAGGGCGGGGAGAACTGAAACTTTTTACTTCCGAATCGACCGTCGGAAGGGCCGGAGGAAGGAAGGCGAGCTTTCGACTCGTCCGGGATTCTTCATGAAAGGCGATCAAGTAGACAGGATCCCGAATTATGCTTAGGGATCGTGGTTGTGGAGATTCTCGGTCATCCATGGTCATGGTGGTCCCGAAGGTGCTTTTTTTTTTTCTTCTTTTTCAAGAGGCAACTGGACTTTCTGGTGTTTTTTTTTTTCCCCTTGAAGACGTTTCGCTTCTCATCCAAGAAGCTTCTTCAGCATCTGCGAAACGTCTTCAAACCTCTTCCAAGGAAAAACAAACAAACAAACCAGAAAGTCCAATTGCCTCTTTAAAAAGCACCTTTGGGCTCTTTATTATTTTTATTTATTTATTTTATTGAATTTGTATACCGCCCTACTCCCGAAGGATTCAGGGCGGTGAACAGCCATAGAATAAAACATATAAATACAAAATTTAAAATAGACTAAAACGAATTAAATAAAAAAATTTTTTAAATTTGATTTATATGCCACCCTTCTCCGGAGACTCAGGGCGGCTTACAATGCGTTAAGCAATAGCCTTCATCCTTTTGTATATTTTATACAAAGTCAGCTTACTGCCCCCACAAACTGGGTCCTCATTTCACCTACCTTTGAAAGGATGGAAGGCTGAGTCAACCTTGAGCCTTGGAGAGATTCGAACCAGCAGAAATTGCAGGCAGCTGTGTTAATTACAGGGTGCACTAAACCCCTGTACTATCAAGGCTCCTTGATTGGCTGAACAAATTTAAAACCCCAATAATTTAAAACCAAATTTAAAAATAGAGATCAGGATAGGATAGGATAGGATAGGATAGGATAGGATAGGATAGGATAGGAGGTTAGCACACACCCCTTTCCTAGGAGAACGAAATATTTTGGGAAATATTAAAGAGGCAGAATATTATGTTTCCCTGTATGAGAAATGGAGAAGCATGTTTTTAAAGACAAAGCAGCTCCCACCTTCCCGCCCCCACCCTTTTGTTAATGGACCAGAGGCAGAAACTCAATCTTTGTCAATGGACCTCATCTGCAAGACAATGGGACCTATCTAGGACGAAACTCACCACATGGCACCTGAAAAGATTACATCAGCCAGCAAGGCTAGCTAAGACCCCCACCCCCTGGGAGTCTGACAACCAATCAGGGTACTCTTTCTGGGCCCCAGGAAGTTCAAAGCCAGAGGGAGCATAAAACCTGAAAACTCACTGTATCTGCCCTTTTCTGTTCAGGAACTCAAGCCACGTGATCCTGTCCTCCATTAAACCATCTTTCCAAGCAGTCTCCATGTTTCCAGTGTCTTTTTCCCCACTTGGAGCAGAACCCAGAAGGATATTTCTTCCAACAGGAAGATAGGATAGGATAACAAAGTTGGAAGGGTCCTTGGAGGTCTTCTAGTCTAACCTCCTGCCTAGGTAGGAAACTCTACACCACTTCAGACAAATGGTTATCCAACATCTTCTTAAAAACTTCCAGTGTTGGAGCATATAAAAATCAAAGAGAATATAGAATCAGATACAATCATAAATCATAAGGTAACAATTGATAAATCATAAAATACCAATATGAAAATGAAAGATGAGAGGTGAGAAAGATGAGGAGGTTAGGCTAGTTTCCCATATCACACTATGTGAAGATACGGCTTTGGCTTATTGGTTCACAAACAGTTGGTTTCTTGGTGCACAAAACACTCTAAAACCCATGTTTTGTTAAAGCCAGATGACTTAACATGGAGTGTTAAAATGGAGACTACAGACTGATAGCAGTAACATCTGGCTGTGAAAGCTGGACCACCAGACTCATGGGAAGCTGGTGGCTTATAAACTTCATAACAATAAAGCTGAACAAATAACAAAACGATGCTTTTGAATTGGGCTGAGGAAATAGTTGAATATTTCTTGGATCGCAAGAAGAACTAATCAGTGTGTGATGAAGAAAACCAGAAATCTTCATGGAAGCTTTCTGGATGAAGTTAAAGCTTGGATATTTTGAACATGAAATTCAAAAGCAGAAGTCATTGGGGTGGGGGGGAGGCAAAAAAAAAAAGATAGTTTTAAGTACTAGCACTGATGACACAAGCATAAGCTTAAAAGAACTCAAGCAGTTGCCAAGACATAGTGTTGGCAGTATTGTGTCCATCAAATCACATAAAGTCAAAAGAGAATGAAATGACTAAACAACAACTTCCTGATTATGGTATGGTTTACACAAGAAACTAAAGACATGAGATAAGGAAACATGACAAATTCTAGTTTATTTCAACTCTGCTATATGTCTCTGTGTCTTCCTTTCTCATTCCATCATGTCACCATGTTGCTGTTCATTTTTTAAATTTCTTTACCTGTCTCTTTGAAGCTTTCATCAAAACACATTAAACCATGACCTTCTTGATCTTCCCATTTCTCTTGTCCTATTCTGTTATGTATGTATTTTGCAAATCATTCTCTTATATCATTTAAATGTACTTGTTCTTTTGGCATTCAGCTGACAATTATTCAACACCCAGTCATTATTTATTTTATTTTAATTAAGTTGATTCCTACTATGCTTAATGCATGTTTATATTTCTCCTGACTACCCAATTCTCATTTTTGTATAACAAAATACATAGAGGCTTGTTATTAAATGGTCATTTTTGTTCTTTTTGATATAATTTCCTTGCAATAGATATGATACAATTCACCAGTATTTGCATATGTTAAAATTTCTCCATTCCATTCCCCCATCTCATAAAATATTCTATCAAAGTAAACAAATTTTCACCTTCATATTTTTCATTGAATCACATCATGTATCAAATATCAGCCATAACATGATATTGTACCAAGTTACATGCATATTTGCATCTGTAAATACCAAAATGCCTGACACCTTATCTGTACATCAAATGACCAAGGGAAAAATTATACAGTATATCCTTGTCTAACTTCATGCTTAGAACATAACCATCTACTAAGCATTCTGTTTGCTCTCACACATGTACACTGAGAGCATATACACCTAAGACAAATTCCTTGTGTGTCCAATCACACTTGGCCAATAAAGAATTCTATTCTATTCTATTCTATTCTATTCTATTCTATTCTATTCTATTCTATTCTATTCTATTCTATTCTATTCTATTCTATTCTACTCTACTCTACTCTACTCTACTCTACTCTACTCTACTCTACTCTACTCTGTACTTCATATACTACTCTTATTGTATTCAACTTCATATTCTAACAGAGTCCCTAATAATACCTATTAACTATTCAGAATGTCTAGGACCAACTTGAGGAATTCTCTAGGAAACTGGAAGAAGGCGCTCATATTCATTTGGAGTGGGATGCTAACTGGACAGATCCTGGGAGATTGGCCAAATTTTTGTCTTGCAAAGTTAACTGACAAGTTTGGTACTATGACTTCTGAGGAAGTCAACAGGGCTCTCTGAAGCAGCTGATCAACCCTTTGCAGATTGTACTCTGTCCTTTATAATAGGTGAAAGCCACAAGGGAGGTGTAAGGAATTGGGACAATGATGAATGCATTCTTGAGGGAGGGAGTGTTACCCCCTTTTGGAAAAAGGCAGTGATAGGCTGCTCCTGAAGAGACCATTGCTGAATTCATATGTACTGGACAACTATCAATCTTTCTCCACCTTTCCATTTGGGTAAGGTTGTGGAGCAAATGGTGGACTGCAGCTGCAGAAAATCCTGAAGGAAGTGAGTCTGGACCAATTTCAGTCAGGTTTCAGGCCTGGATTCAGCATGCAGATTGTCTTGATTATGGTCATTAATTACTTCTGGTAAGTAGTCCCTCCTTGATCTGATTGGATCTCTCAGCAGCTTTCAGCCATAGTATCCTGAGCCATCTCCGAGTGTGAAATTGAGTTTTGCACCTCTTTCTCCAAGTGAGAGTTTTGGGGAAGAGAGAAATTGTCAGGGCATTGATTAATCCCATGTTTGGCTCTGGGACAAATCACCCTGATTTAATTAGAGGATGGATCGTGGCTCCTCCAAGTTGCAATATTCTGAAAAGAAAACCCGAAGAAAAGTTCTCTAATAAAACTCATTTATTTGTTATAAAGAAAATAAAACACCTCACTAACTAAGAAAAGTAATTGCTACATTTTGAAATAGTTCTTGCCGGCTATTTCTCAGCCGGACCTTTCTGGCAAGAGAACAAAAGAAAGAGTGTGTGAAGGGATGCAAAGGAATGCGGAAGCACGTAGCTTACTGATAAGAAGTTGGCAAGCTACGGAAAGTCTGACAGTCCAGAAATGATGAGCTCAACTGGTAAATAAAATAACGCAGTGACATGCAGTGAGTGCCTTCGTATCCTAACTTGTAACAATTATAGGTCCCATAGTGCCTAATAAGTCCCTATTTAATATTTACTACTGGATGAGATCATCTATTGGAATGAGGCTAGGTTTCATCAGTATATTGTTTATGTCCAACTGTACATTTTGACCACTGGATGATAAATATTACTGTTGAAGTGATGAAGAAGATGGTCCTTCAGAAACCTCAGTGTCTAAAGGACCATCTTCTTCAAGCAATGTTTATTTGTATTTGTTATTTTGAGGGCAAAGAATGTATCCCTCCGGTTTTATTATCAGTTCTATAGAACTGGTGTGAACTGGGGGCAACCCACCACTGCTGTATATAAAGCTTATTAATCACTGTGATACAAAATACCTTTTTGGATAAGGGGGAGAAATAACTCTGATTTGGCTAAAGTTCAACCTTCTCATTTCTCTGACCTAGCATCTTCT